CGGGTCAATCGACCTTGTATAATAATTCAAGCTTCATCTAGAAAGGTCAACATGCACTTTTTACATGAAAGAACTCATGGCCGGTTGAAAAAGTTACGATTGTTTTATTGAAAATATATTTTTCCTGTTACGAAATAAGTAATATAAATTATAGAGATTTATTAATATTTGCTTGTTCTTCTTCTTCTTTAATTGGTGGCGTTTCCTTATAGATTTCGCCAATGTCGTGTAACGATATTAATATTTGCTTATTGTTTTGTTAGATTACTTTGTGAGTTGCCAGTTCTTAAAAATATATTAATATATATACCACCTATTTACATATCGATTCAAACAGTTTAAAAAAAATTAAAATTATACAAGACAGTACTAGTTTTTAATATATAAAAAAAAACTTTATATACAGGGTGACTGGTGAGTTACTATCGATATTTGAGGACGTGATATTTGACGATCATATATGACAAAATAAAAATTAATATAACATAAATTTTAAGTAAAGTTAACCAAAAGTTATGTAATTAATTACGCATCGTATGAACACCCTACAGATTAGGTATACACACACACTCACACATACGAGTGCGGCGGCGTGGTGTTGTATCAGCACGCCGCCGCACGCGTCCACACTTGGAACACTTGGAACGTGTACACACTTTATTTATTTATACGGAAATTTTGTCAAAAATTAAGTACCTATTTTTTTACATAATTCGAATGAGAATCATGTACCGAGTATGCTCCTTAAATATTGATAGTAATTCACCAGTCACCCTGTATATTATGGTGACTCTATAATTCTTTATAACTTCACGTTATCCTGACAATGAAGGTAGTTGATGATTTCATTGCAATCTTGAACATACAAATATATATAGCTTTATATAATATATAACTCTACTATTGAAATTATATACAATAATGTGATCTAAGATTTTCGCGAGTACTCAATTAAATGAAACTTATATTTTCTGATTTCCTACGCGTTTTTATTTTTGATTATAAACTACATACTCCCGACGTTTCGGCTACTTTGCATTAAAAAATATTTCTAAAAATTTTTTTTCTTTTAAACATTTATACGAATAATTTTAAAGACTTCTGAATAGAAGTAAAAGACGAATAAATACGTGGGCTCAAGCATGTATATAAAAGTCAGTGGGCGTGTAAATCACGGTTATCTAATTAAAAGTTCTTTGAATTGTACAACCTTTATTAAAAGATGACTTAGTCATTGAAACCTTCGCCTTATTTATCAATGTTTATATACTAACTAAATTAATACATAAGGTTAAAGGTGAGAAGATAAATTATATAGATTTAGCAAGGAAGAAAAAATGAGAGGGAATTGGAAAGAGAAATAAGGTTATATGTATTGAACCTCTTTAGTATATATAGTAATTATTTAATGATTTTATGAAATGGCAACACTAAAGATTATGTCAAAAGTTGTAATATATGTATATGATGACAATGATCACAGACTCTAAAGAAAAAGCTTTCAACGATGACATTTAAATATCTGTATGATTAAGATAATTATATTATTTAAATTTATAATTAATTAATAAATATTAATCTTTTAGAATTTATTAATTTATTCGTTTTATACAAGTTCAATTTGGATAGCAAAATCTTCGTCAAAAAGTAAGTAAAATTTCTTTTGCATTCGTAAAACATGATATCCTATATTAAGTATTTTTTCATTCACACTAGAATTGTTCAATTATATTTCATAAAAAAGATATTTTTGACAAATTTCATTCTAAAGAGGTTGTATTTATAAGGTTTTTTTTTTTAAATAAATCCACGAGGATGACGTGGACCGAGATTGTACAGATTAAAAGCAGTTATTTCAATACCAATTCCATTTACTCAGTGAACATGACATCACATACATATGTTAATAGCTTTAACAAGGCGTGTCTATATATAACATATAAAATGTATCACATGAAAGTAACATATGTAGGTCAATGGCGACTAGTGTAGGCAAGGTACGTGCATTATTTAAAAAATTATTGGCCAATAATTTACTTATAATAAACATTTATAATTGTTTAATGGGATTATTAAAGAAAAAATACTTAAAAACAATGTAATTATCCTTTTGGAATTTGACATTACTTTGACATTGACAAAAAAGCGCGCGTTTTTTTCAGAAATTATGACAACTGAAATGTCACTGAAATTTGTCGAATTAAATAAAAATTGCGTAAAATCTAATTTATTTATTATTTATAATATAATAAAACTATATTACATATCAAATTATTTATGATTTATTTATATTATTTATATATACGTGGTCCAAACTTCGAAATTTAAAGGCCATCATACAAATGGCCGGCGGGTTCTAAAATCATATTATCTACGCGGATATGACAGACGCTCGTTAATTTTATTATACACTTTATATTTATAACACGTATACTGAAATAGCCATTAATTATGATATTGAAGGTATTTATAATTTATTATTAAATTAAAATATTAATTATAAACCCTTAACTAGTTTATAATTATTGACATATCGAAATATTTGGAAGTTAAAAATAAATAAAAAAGGAATACCAAAATGGCGGAATTTTTGGTTTAAATATATTTGGCGGCAAAATTATTTTTTTTTAATATTTAAGTTTAATTTTTTTTGCCTTTGTTAAATCTAGTCAAAATTTCCTATTAATAAAAAAACGGAAAAAATATCAATGGTTTTCCTTTTTCATATATATATATAAAATCAAAATTATGAGAGAAAACTCAATGTCGAATCAGTCAGTTTAATTCAAATATTTCGTTGTAGTGAGAGGAGCTTCAACAGTGACTGTGACTTGCGACCCAGGTGTAGGTTTAAGAAGCCCTTATCTAACGCGCGTTAAATTTTCACCTCTACTGTCCAAGCTCCTCTCTCTACCAAAACAACTAACAACTGATCATAAACGTAAAAAATTATCAAAACTCATTTTATATCATAAATATAATATAAATAACACTTTATTCCGTTTCTATAAAAATACATTTATTCAAAAGATCTAAATTAGTAACAGATACGATAAGAAATTTAAAATAATATTTTTAATGAATAACATAATATTTAAATTGATTATATAAGACCAATACCCTTAAGACAAGTTTCGCATCATCACTACACACGTAGCGTTAACAGTTTGTAATTCATAAATCTTCATATTATAGTAAAAGGCGAAAGATTTATACGTTTTGAAGGGAAACCAGAGTTATTATAGTATTAACGTAGTATTGAATGAGAAACGGGAAACTATACGTATTTAGTGACGATACATACTCATAGTAAGTGGTGTAGTCTTCAACAAATATCTGCTCGATAATATTTTCTGATACTCTTTAACAATAAAGTTATAATAATAAAATAAAATAAAACATCTCAGAAAATTCAAATAAAATAATCACATTTAGAAAAAAATTAATAAATTCTAAGCTACTTAAAAAATCATATACATTTAATACTTTAATTAATGTTTTATTTATTACGAGTTGCTATCGAGTAATCAAAAGCCTTCTATTTCTTTATTCCGTTGATCATACAAAATTTATCCTTACCACATGTTTATACAATCAAATTGAACGTAGATAGTTTCCAGTTTAACATTAATAATTCTTCATACATAATAATAAAGTAAGCAAATCTTGGAGTTATATACTAGTATATGATTTTTATGTTGTAAATAGTTTTGGCTAATTGTTTTTACGACCGGCCACCTGCCTGGCATCAACCCTCTTTGGGAATGCATTAATCAATGATGTCTAAATACTCTTAGAAAGTACATATGACTCAGTAATATCGCATTGGTACTTGCCAGGATCGAACCCGCGTCCTCGTGTATGAGAGGCGGGCCTTTTTAACCACTAGACCACCACTGATTTCTATTTACTGCTATAAAGTATAAGGATAGTAAAAAAATATTTAGTCTTTAATTTCAATATTCGTCTTATTAAATTGATTAACCATTTTGAACCATTCAAAACTATATAGTAATTTTAAAAATAATAAAACAAGGATAAATCGATTCTAATTATCAGCTCAAAACATCACACGCCATCAAATATTAAACTTAAATCACACATTACCGAATTCAATTATAAAAAAGATTAATAATGATTTGCATATAATTAAACTCGAAAAAAAACTCATTTCATGAACCGTATGCATGGTCAAGTAAATTTGGCGATAGGTCAAGGGAATAAAAAAAGATTTATTTTAAACGAAGCGGCCATAACACCTCCGTACGACTCTCATAATTAATGGATTTTATATTGGTATTGATTACAACAAATCATATATATTAAGTATTAAAGTAATATTTGAGATGTACAAAAAGGATTTGTATATGTTATATGTAATTATTATAATTAAATAAAGAAGGAAACGAAAATAAAACATTTTTTCTATTATACTGTCAAGATTACAAAATGTATTAAATATTACAATGTTATAAGACCTCTTTCTCATACGATCGACAGTAAAAGTGTTTTCATTAGCCTCTTATATTACAATAATTACGTCACAAATATTTTTGACGGTCAACAACCGTACTGAACGGTCGTCGTGCTCATTTTCGGTAATATCTACATGCTTTCACTTTTTCTTACGGTAATTGAAACGAAAATTATAAACGGTTAGCAGCGCCATCTATCAGTGAGTTAAGAGATTAAAAACGACATCTACTGTCGAATAGCTTTAAACTGATATAACAATAAAATATATACAAGATTCTACTGATATGTTATACAGAATTATTTGCTGCATAACTGTTTTCATATAAATAAAACAATAAAAAACTACAAATACCGTACAGAAGATTTATCTGTCTCAGTTTAGAATTAATACTATTAAAAAATTTAAAAGCTTGCAGTACATACGTAGGTGTACAACATTATTTTATCTTTTTTTGGTTCACAAATGTGATTCTAATGTAAAAAATGAAATGTTAACAAATTTCAACCACAATAGACAAGTCAGGATGGCCGAGCGGTCTAAGGCGCTGCGTTCAGGTCGCAGTCCACTTCTGTGGGCGTGGGTTCGAATCCCACTTCTGACAAATACTTTTTGTATTTATAAAAGGTTATATTAATAATGTTTGGTAATAAAAACCATCTATGCTTATTATTTTTTTACCTTAGTATGTTCTTCATGGATTCACTTTACCAATAAATTTACATTTCTACTATTTTTTGTAAGTAATCTTAATGTAATTGTGATCATAGATGCAAATTTTTGGATGGAAGTATGAATCAATGATTGTCGGTCTTTCACGAAGAAAATACTCAACGGATATTTATGAAACTCATATATTCTTATGTATCTATTATAATATAATTTATTGCCGAATTCCATGATTTTTTTTGAGTCCATTTTCCAATTTGTAGTATTCGATTTTAAAACATTCTGCCATAGAAAAACTATTTAATAGTGCAAATTGTCACATTCTAATCACATTTAAAGAGATTTTAACTTTAAAAATAATACTAAATCATAAGCATTGTGTCAGTTACACTGACATAGAAAAATTAAATGTAATAATTGATTCATGCATTTGTAAAACCTTTTAAAATATTATGATTTTATACGAAAATTTTGTTAAACCTAGATGTTTTAAAATGGTATGAACGCATCTTTATTTGATAATATTGATCATTATTCACTATCTTCAAGGTTCTTGGTGTCAAATGTCAAATTAAGGTCTCACGAACGGAAAAGTTGAAATAGTTTAAGACATTTTTAATTATTCAATACTCACAAGAAAATAAAATGACGATAATAAAGGTAACAGACGAGGCTGAAATTATTAATAAGTTGGCTTCATATGTGGAAAAAATTTCAAATGATGCGATTCTTAATAGAGGCAAATTTTTCATCGGCCTTTCTGGTAACGTATTTAAATTATACTAAACAATTTTTATTATACCGTTCTCATTAACTCAATAAGACTAATTAATAATAAAAACCTTATAGGCGGTTCAGTGGTGAAATATTTATGCGAAGGACTGCCAAAAGTTAATACGGACTGGTCCAAATGGGTGTTAGCATTCTGTGATGAGAGAGTAGTTCCCGAAAACAGCGAAGATTCTACGTTTGGGACTTACGAAAAACAATTAATACCTAAGACTAATTTATCTAGAAAACAGTTTATCGTTCTAAAACAGGGTGTCTCAGGTATATTTATATGTACTATATAAGAAAAATCTAATATAGCAATATTTATTACTTTAATATGTAAACCAATTATTTTACAGCGGAAGAAGCAGCAAAAGATTATACAGAACAACTTAAAAGTGCATTCAATAGTGACAATTTTAAATTTGATTTGCTTCTATTAGGAATGGGTCCTGACGGACATACATGTTCATTATTCCCGAACCATCCTTTGCTTAAAGAAAGCACACTACAAGTAGCTTCTATTACTGATTCACCCAAACCTCCTCCAGAAAGAATCACACTCACTTATCCCGTTATTAATAATGCTAGGAACTGTATCTTCGCTATTTCTGGTGCCGGTAAAGCTGATATGGTTAAAGTGAGTAACTTTAGTATATGTATGTTTATTTATGAAGTTTTGAAGAAAATCTGATTATGTTGGATAATCTTTGAATCTCTATCCTTTATAATTTTTTAGATAGTAATATATATTAATGGTTATTTATAACCTTTTTCTACTTTGGTTTAGTTAAAAAACTTGATTAAAATGAATTATGTTTTTTTGTATGTTAGTTTCTACTTTCTGATCCAAACGCCATATATATTTCTTTTTTGTATAGTGCTTTAGTATTTAATAACCTGTGTTTTACTTATATAAAGTTATTTTTCATTCAAAATTTCAAATGTTTTCATACATTATAATTATTATATTTTGTCTTTCAGAGAATTCTTAAAGACAATGAAGATTTACCAGCGGCCAGAGTTCAACCACAAGGATCATTATACTGGATTCTTGATGAAGCCGCTGCAGCAAATTTGTGATCTTATAATTTAAATTGAATCGAGCTTAAAAAAGTGCCTTATAAATATTTTAAATATGAAGTTATATTATTTCCTGTGAAATTGGTTATGGAAATATAAAAAGATTATAGGGGAATTAAAAGAAAAAGTTTCATCATGTTTCCAATATGTGTATTTCCCTCATACTTTTCAAACGCGAGACATTTCTCGGCATTCGTTCACAATAAAAAAGACATCGTCTAATACAATGAGTTGTTAGACCGGACGTCCGCCGACGCCATGTTGCTTTCAATAATATAATGTAATTACAAAACAGTATGACAACTAAATACAAAAAAAAATAATTATAATATAAACCTTTCAGCGCGCATAGCGCACCAAATGCTTACATACATATACATACAAGTAGCTCTACTGTTAATTTATAATTAGCTCGACGTTTAGGGACTTTAGGGCGAGAACACATTGCGCGCTACTCACCACAGTGTGTCCGCACCCTAAACAGTCATCCCGACGCCGGTTTACTAACAATTTATTTTTTTTAAAGGATATTAAAAACGGCATTTATTTTACAAAATGTATGTATAAGTCGGTGCGCACACGTTTATATTACAAGTTAATTACACAATAAATCAACGCGTTTCTTCAGAGCATTTACAACACCTATACACTATCGTTTGTTTTTTATTTTTATTTTCCGTACAAATTGACACGTGAATGTTGAGACGTTCGTGTGCGCACGCGCAGAGACGGCTTGAAGAGGCCGCCTGTATACACGTGTCCGTAAGAAGACTACCTGGGAACATACAAACATATATATATATATATATATATGCACACATGTGTGTGTGAATAGGTGTAAAAATCAAAGATCGAATCTGTGATATACGATTTTTATGTATTCCATTTAAGAGACCCAAATCACCGAATTAAACTTTCATTACGACTTGTTTGTGCAAATAATTATATATCTTTAAAAAACCAAGAAAATATTTGCAAGGAGTTTAATTAGATATACTGTTACTGAGAAAGGAACTTAGTGGTTTATAGTTTTGAGATAACTGAATAGCATTTTATGAATTTTGATATTGTTAGTTAATAGAATATTCAGCAAGGAAAGTTTGCGTTTCTTCGCAAAATTAAGGGCATAAACTAGTAAAAAACATCTTTGAATACCAACAAAACTATCAAAATTACTAAAATAAATAATTCTTGTGGCTTTATTCTTAAGTGCCATCTTTGTCAATTAAAAATATCAATACTTAAGACTCCCGTTACTTAAAAAAATGTCAAAACTGCCACACAGATGGCGTTACTAGTGGTTGAATATAAAAAAGTTATAAGTATTTTTATAAACTTTAATTTGTAAATTATCAAAATACAATAAATATTGTACAATGAATATTACTAGAATTAATGTTCATATTTTACAGTGACAATGTTTTAGTTACAGCGCCATCTAGTGTAAAATGGATGTATTACATATATTTAAACAATCAGAATGAGCAAATACAGATCTTTATCTAAATGGCGCCATCGTTTATTCAGATTCGATTCCCGATTGTCACATATTAATTCCGTAACAGAATTAGTGTGACAATAATTCGTACATTTAAATTATAAACTAAATTTTATTTAAAATAACAATACCGTTACATATAAAAGCTATTGAGACATACAAAAATAAATATAGCATCTGTTACTTAAGATTTCATTTAAGATCGTACTACTTAATCTAAAAATTGACTTTACAATTAATTTTAACATAAAATTAATAATTAACCGACTTAAAAGCAGCTAGGTTATGTATTTGTTGTAAATTCTCTGACAAATGATATAGCAAATGCGTTTGAAAATTTACAAGATTTTTTATTATTGATTATATTATATATAATAATTAAATGTACATATTAATGTCACACTTTGGTTTCGTTTTATAAGCACCTAGTTAGGCGTCCAGTATGATTGGGAATATGTTGGCTTGCTCGATTGTGGTTTAGATGAAGCACGGCCCGCTGATCCGCTTTCCTATAACAAATTAAAACATATATAATAAACATTATATATATCTTTTGGTGACTAGACATACATATATGTGGAGTATATATAAAATAGGTTATGCTTGTATTAGTCATACAAAACATTAAGTTATTTATAATATGTAACCAAATGATTTCATTAAATATGATAACATACATTTTTCTTTTATTTGTGGTGTTTTAGCCATACATTTTAAATTATTTATTTGTAGATAAATAATATATTAGGTTATATAGAATACAAAACAAATATAAAAACAAATTTTTTTAGATAGTTTCATTGTATTTAATGTGAAAAAGTGAATCTCAAATTCTGTATAATATATTAAATGCGTACTTTTTTGTATGCAACATTTACATATGAATTATACTTCAACACATTTTTTTAGGAACTATTTTAGTAAAGACATAATTTTCACCATTTCATTGTATTCTTATTTATATATTTTTAACTAATTAGTTAGTATTAAATAAAAATAATTACACGACATGTTTTTAGCAGAAAATATCTCCATATGCATACATTTTACACAAAGTAACTTTAATTCCATATATATCTTGTTATATACACAAACACAAGACAGTATTAAGCATAGCATACAGATATATAATCATATCATGCAATGGCGGGTTGTAGATATATATATTATATATATAAGCACATACAACCAAATAAACATACAACTTACCCGCCTATTATGACTACTGTTGAGTCGACCATCCATCTACAAATGAAATAAAACTCTAAATATATAATATAATACATGCATTATAAAACTTCACTGTAACCAACATACATTCATGTATGTTTGTAAGAAAAAATCTGTATTACATATATATAATTATATATAAATATTTTCATGTACTCCTTGTGACGAAATAAACATATGATACATATATACAAAGCTTGAATAGATATAGCTACAAAAATCATTCCACCAATAATAAAATCTAATTTAAATAAAAATCACATGTCAAAGTGTTGATGACATATGAAAATGTATGAATACTACTAATACATACATATATAATATAATAATTTATTTAACATGCACTTCTTTGTGTTAGGGATAAAAATCAATCAATGATTTCTTTGTATGTGTGTAAAATCTCTTGTGCTCAGTTTAAATTTTGATCATTGATAAATTTCTGCGACTTTTTCTACTTTTTAGTTTTAAAAAGTATTAAGTGTTCAGTAAATAACATATAGAATGTGTTATTGGTAGATATGTGCGTGTGAAAATATTGACCGTGTATTGCTTTCTCTCCCTCTCTTTGTGTGAGTGTGTTTCTGTCTCTGTCTATATCTATCTCCGTGTGTGTGTTTGTGTGTGGGTGCGTGCGTGTATTAGGATAAATTGTGTTTGTTAAATATGTGTTTATTAAATAAACTATTTGTATTTAAATACAATACAAATAGTATGTTTAATAAACATTGTATAATTATAGAACAATGTCCTAATACGTGCATGTCTCTCTGTCTGTGTGCGTGTCTGTCTGTCCCTCTCTTTGTTTGAGTGTGTTTCTGTCTCTATCTATCTCAATCTCCGTGTGTATGTATGTCTATCTCTCTCTGTGTATGTATGTATGTCTCTCTCTCTCTGTGCGTGTGTGTATATCTCTCTCTCTCCGTACCTGGTGTTGTTGCGGCGCGTGATGGTGCGGATGGTGGTGAGGCGGGGCCGGTATATACAGATGTGAGCCGGCGCCGAAAGGCGGCGGGGTGCCGCTGTGGAAACCAGCCTTCTCGTAACTCTGAAAAACACATACATATATAGTTTATTTTCATATAATAATTGATTTTATACTATTTTTAAAGCATATTATTATCATATTTCTTACATTCGCCTTTGTTTTTATACTGTTTTTAAGTTAATTAAATATATTACATACATGGATGTCTTTTTTTTTCAATGTCTTTATACCATGATTATGAAAAATATTTTGCAGGATAAATAAAACACATTTGTTATTGATATTGAATATTGATAAAAAATATCTACAAACACATTTGCTACATAGTATTTATGTATAATTTATGGTATATGGGACTTTGTCTAGTTAACAAGAAGAGATCATATAATGAAATACTTTCTTTTCTATATATGTATATATCCTTATTTATAATAATAATTATTATATATGATAACTTACATTAACCTTGTTGAGTGCTACATGAGTCTTGGCATACATTGTATTAGTGAGATCATTGGCGCCTCCGGCCGTCTTATTCGCACTACCCGTGTAAGGCCCGCCTGTTAATATAAATACATTAATTAACTTCAATATATTATAAATTCACATATTATATACAGGGTGACTGGTGAATTACTATCGATACTTGAGGACGTGATATCTGACGATCTTATATGACAAAATAAAAATTAATATAACATTAATATTAATAAACTTCTAAGTAAAGTTAACCAAAAGTTGTGTAATTAATTACGCATCGTGTGAATACCCTACAGATTAGGTATACGCACACACACACACACGCGCGGCGGGGGCGTGGTTTTGTATCAGCACGCCGCCGCACGCGTCCACACTTGGAACGTGTCCACACTTTATTTATTTATACGGAAATTTGGTCAAAAATTAAGTACCTATTTTTTTTACATATTTCAAATGAGAATCATGTACCGAGTATGCTCCTTAAATATTGATAGTAATTCACCAGTCACCCTGTATAATAAATGCAATAGATTCGAATGTATATTATATGTATATAATATAATTCTGTTATTTATTAATCACATCTTATTGTATGTACTTGACACACAAGATATTTGATGATAAATTAATCTCAAGATATAAAATTAGAATTTATTTCATTAATTGCAATGGGTGACTTTTTCATAATTTTTAAATTTTTTGGGTTAAACACAAACATATACACATTTTTGAAATATTTTAAAGCAAATATCTTTGTTTTTAGTATCTTGTAATTGTATTAATTTTAGAAAGTACTAAGTATTAATCTGTTATTTATTTATCACATCTTGCAGTATTCGAAATGATGATTATGATGCGACACACACAAGATATTTGATGAACAATTAATCACAAGATATAAAATTAGAATCTATCTTAATTAATGCAACGGACGATTTATTGTAAATTTTTAATTTTCTTCAGTAAACCGTCAATATGAACATATTTTAAAATATCTTAAGACAAACATCAATGCTTTTATGATATTTCTTGATCATTTACTAATTGTACTTTAATCGTATTAATTTCAGAAACTACTAAGTATTACCAGAAGAACTATACCAAATTAAAATATGCTATTATTTTAGTACAAATACATTGTTATATTACACTGCGTTACAAATGAAAAAACATTGAGCACTCACTTTGAAATGTCATGTTTTCTTATGAATACTTATAGTTTATTAAAAATACATACAACATTTCCAAATGCCAAATTCTACTAAAAATTTTAATGCTTAAACATATTTTAAAGAGAACTAGTTGAATCAACCAGATAAAAAATAATTCTTTTATAGGTAGTATTAATCTCACCTGGTTTATACGTGTCCTGGCCGTCGTATGGCGGTTGTTGTTGTTGTGAGTAAGCGGATACTTTTCCACCTCCCGATACGCCCACACCGCCCACGCCGCCAACTCCACCCACGCCGCCCACACCACCTACACCGCCCACGCCGCCCACGCTTGAGCCACCACCATACTGTATATAGATAGGAAATATTATTGAGGAACTTTGTGTGAGTATAAAGTATAACATACAGTGTAAACTCCATGTAACGTCACTCGATTTACAAACTCTCTAAAGCGTCGAAATCATTTGACTTTGGTTGGTTTAGCTTGTCTACCATACAATGATACACTCTACATAGCATCACACCCACTCTCAATAACTACAACAATTAAGTAATAAAAAGTACCTTTTAATTTGCTAAAATTAGTAAAAACTGAGCAGCTGTGTACGTTCTTTTGTCGCTTTGCTATCCTAGCCCGCAATAAACTCGACTGTCGGAATTATGCATACCGAACTTTCTAAGAAATTCGTTCGTCACCAAGATGCCTCAATATCGCAAAATATTAATAAAATAAGTAAAAAAATACAACAACATTACTGGTGCAGCAAAAGACGTCAAACAAAAATAATAGATTATACGCAATAGGGTTCGAATAACATTCTTTTTTATGTACATAAGTACTAACACTAGTCTGAAATAAACTTTGTCTTTTTCTCATTCTGATTTTTCGTCTCTCTATTTAACGACAACTCTCTATAACGCCATAAAATGCACAGTCCCTTCAGTGTCGTTATATAGAGTTTAAACTATATTTAAATTACACTAAGATTATTGGATTGTAAGCCATCTAGCATTTGACTATAGAATTATATCCCAGATACAAAAAATACGTATTTAATTTAATCAGCTTTTTGGGCATATATTCCAGATGTATCTTTTTTCTTACAATTTTTATTTACTACTTATAATTAATTAATATTAATATACACTTACAGGTGGGTATACTCCATATTGATACGACGTAGGTGGTGGTTGATAGAAGTACGCGTAACCGGGAGGTAAGGCGGCCGGGACCTTGTAATATTAAAATAAAACATAAACAATAGTAATTATATTACGTAAAAAATATGAACATCGCCGGGGCAACATCGTTGTATGTATAAAATAGATAACGAGTGACGCCGCTGACTCCGCGGAACGAACACCAAGCCGTGTGAACCAGAAGATTCCTGATACCACACAAACTATGGAATGGTATTGCTATCCTAACATCGGAACAATCATGAAGTCTTAGGTGTAGATTATAAGTTTTAATATATAATTCTTATTATAATATACATTATATCTAGAGTAAGTTTCGTAATTATCCTGAAACCTCTTGTTTTCCACGCTATATAATCAAACAATATTGATATCCTACTAATATTATAATTGCGAAAGTTTGTGACTGTGTATGTTTGTTACTTCTTCACGCTCAAACGGCTGAAACGATTTTGATAAAATTTTGTATACGTGAAGCTGACGTCCAGGAATAAGACATAGGCTACTTTACATCCCGGAAATCGGAGGTAACACCGCGGGGCGCAGCTAGTATAATATTCACCTGTTGTGGCGAGGCAGCGTCTGTTCTACCAAACCTCTCTCCCGCTCCTAAACCGAATGTACCTTCGCGCGCTCCGTAGCCGACTTCGTAATATCCACCCTACAAACATTTATATATAAAAATATTATTATCGAGAGTATATATTAAAATAACTGCTAGTAGTATATACTATGGGATTTAATAAAATACATTTTATCTGTCATAATGTATTGTTAGCGCCTACAAACAATTATTTCTTATATTTTTTGGCGTACTATTATGTTATATTTTGATTATTTTATTGTATGTATGTATATGACAAAGACGAATAACAGGTCTAAAGTTTGTATAAGCTAAATAGAATAGAATAGAATAGATTCTAAGCTAAATTCTTGTAATGGCATTATAACTGTGGCTATTATTTCGTATAGACTATAGTATTGTCAAACATATATTATCTATATACACATATAAACTGAATTTCGACAAAACCTTTATCGAAATATAAGTCTGCCAAAGTGAATCTCGAATTCTATATATTATATTACATGAGTTATTTTTGTATTCAACATTTACATATGAATTATTCTTTTACACATTTTTTTCAGGAAATATTTTAGTAACGACATTTTTTCACCATTTCATTGTATATGAAGAGTATAAGTCTTTGAGCAATTTGTTTAACGTTCAATATAATGTATAGTTCATATTAACCATATGGTGCGGAAGCGTTCCTCTCATGATTTGTTCGTCATAAGCGTACGCTCCTCCATATAACGCTCCTCCAGCGTACGCCGCGCCCGCTCCCGCTCCGCCGCCCGCTGCGCTTGTGGCTGACGACGCACCCGTACTGGCCGCGTTACTCACTGACCAATATTATTATATATTAGACACAAGGACATACATATGTTTCATCAATGATAAATGAAATACTAAGTGTTTATTAAACATAACAAATTCAATTTTACGGTTTTCTCATCCAAGTTGTATATTTGAATAAAATATATGATATTCATATGATCAAAACATATAAGTTAATATAAACTAGTTTTTGCCCTTAATTTGCCAATCGAACAGAATGATTGACATATTGGAAATAGAAAAGAGAAGCGCTGTTTTTAGGGTTTTCCCAGAAATGAATCAATCTTTTTCAGCTTTTAAACCTGCCCTAAACCTCCACGAACATTTCAAAACTAAGATAAGATAAATCCTTTCAGCCGTTCTCTAGTTTTAGTGAGACTAACAAACAGCAATTCATTGTTATATATATTACTAGTTTTTGCCCGCGACTTCGTCCGAGTTAATTTCAGCATTAGTAATATATGTATAGCTGATCGGTCGAACTCTATTCCGTCCTAGAGGCCATAAATAATCAGGTTTTTCCTGTTTCAATCGAACAGAATGATTGACATATTAGTTGTCAAATCTAATGTCAAAGAAAACATTTGTATGGGAAATAGAAAAGGGCTGTTTTTAGTGTTTTCCCGAAAATGAATCAATTATTCTCACCTTTTATACCTTCCCTGAACCTCCACGAACATTTCAAGACTAAGATAAGATAAATCCGTTCAGCCGTTCTCGAGTTTTAGCGAGACTAAGGAACAGCAATCCATTTTTATATATATAGAAGATAGATATATATATGTATATATATTTATTTTTACCTGTTGTCGTGGTAACCTTCGCCGTTGAAGTCTGTGTTGTCGATGTGCTCGTTAAACTGTTGCTTGACGCCACTGAACTGTCATACTGAAACATATTATTGATAATGTTACATATATATATATATGTATAGTAAGTTGATATATATGTATGTTCATGAACGTTATCGAATACGAAACAAACCTATATGTGAAAATTGAAATATTATTAACACTATTGAAGACATAAAACTGTTAAATACGAAGTATTATTGATAGTTATGTTTGTTGTGTTATAATTCTATGTATTATCGTGTTAACGGTAATTTAGTTATGTTTTTACTGTAAGTAATGAAAGGTATAGTTTATGTGCAGCTATGTGTGTGTGCTTGTAGTAGTGAATGTAAGTTTATTTGTGTGTGCACTAAATCTGTGTGTCGTAGTGTGTGTACACTAATAAGAGTGTATTAGTATACATGTACTAATGTGTGTGTCTACTAGAGTGTGTGTACTATTATATGTGTACTAGTATGTGTGTATACTAGTATATGTGTCTGTTTGTGCGTGTTTGCGCCTGTCTCTGTGTGTATGTATGTCTGCCTGTCTGTCTGTGCGTGTATGTCTGTCTGTGTCACCTGCGGCGCCTGCGTGCCGTCCTTGTGGTGTTTGTGCGCGTGGTGGTATGCGTGGTGCGCGGGCGGCGCGGTGTAAGGGGCGGCCGTGTATAGCGCGCTCCCTCCGTACGCTGACACGGACGCCGCTGACACCGTCGATGATGGCGTCTGTTGTTGCTGAAGCGAGAATGTTAGTATGTTATATGAAATGTTATGGCACTTGTTAGAGGAGGTATATATGGAAATGATTTCAACAGTTCCTGATAATGTACGATAAATTTACATTAATATTAGAATAAATTTACATTAATTGCTGTACCGAGAATGTTAGTCATGTTATATGAAACCTATAGAATATGAACCAAAGAGTAATGTAACATGACAATTGTTAAAGACGGAATATATGTTAGGAATAATTTCATCACTTCCTGATAATTAATCGTTGATCGTTAATTTAGAAAATATTCCATCTTAATCTTTCTTCTGATAATCTGCTTTCAATGTAGATACGCGGAATTATCCAATGGTAGTTACGCGGATTTTCACTATCCCCGACTATTATATTTATATCAATTTACATTAATATTAGAAATAGTATATGTCTAATATTAATTTACATTGATTTTCTTCTTGTAATGAAATATAGACTTTGATAAAATCAAACAAAATATATTGTAGAATTTTATGGCAATATATTTTAAATATCTATCAGAAACTGTTGAAATCACTTTATATGAAATGAATGTAGTCAATATCATGAGATTATTACTAGAAATGAAATAGAGAAGTTTTAGCAACAAATATATTATTACTAAATAACTCAGAATTACCTGATATGAGTTAATGATTGGTTGGTATTGTGTGAGAGTAACACTGGACGGATATCCGCTGGCCATTGAAGCACCCGTTAGTGAAGCATTTGTTGAATTCACCTGAAATAATAATATTATATATATTATAATATGCGATATATGTATATTATTTATATATGAGCTTTCATATGAACTTGTCAATTAATTTTTTGTTTTGATTGTATTATATTGATTACAGCTCTACTAAATTTTCTTATATAAATATTATATATATATAACATTCACGAGTGTCTTACATGGAATATCGATCTTTTGCCTATTATTTAGTATGTACAACTTTAAGATATATATATTTTTTCTTATATATTATTTGTATATTAATAAAATAACTTTCTGTATGACTTGTATTCTCCAACTATATATATATTTATAGTGAGAGTAGACAAAGCCGTGTGCTATAGCTCGTTTGTTACACACACAGACATACAAGTCTGAATGATCTAGCTGCGAGCGGTTACAATACTAATAATATTTTAATCAAGTCTTATATGGGATATTAAATTAATTTGTAGTACCACAAGTTTGTGTATTACTACATACTTTACGTTTCCTGTTTTTCTATAAAGCTACGTTATTATGAGTAAAACGGAAATTTTATGTTGCTTGAAACTTGTGGTAAGAATACAAGTATTCATTTATGTATACTTAATTATTCTTTAATCTATTTTGGTTATATTCTCTCTTTTTAGTTAACTATAATATATTTATAAACTTTATGTACAATTAAACATAGAATTGCAACTATTAAGTAGAATTTTGGAATATGTCCAACATTTTTCATAGAAAATCCATTTACAAGTCGTATAAATGTTTGACATAAACACGGAAAAAATACTTCAAAACAAACCAATCAACTACATAAACGCTTTAAACGAATAGACAATACAGTTTCTAACAGGAATAACACATAGGCTACTTTATATCCCGGAAATTCGCGAGTAACACTGCGGGGCGCAGCTAGTATTATATATTTACCTGTGGCGCGTACACATTAGCTCCGTATACTGGCGGATGATGTGACACGTGGTGCGGCGCGTACACGTTCTGTTGTTGACTTACAGACTGGGAACATGCAGACATACATACATTAATATATAACATTCATATATACTTCTTCTTCCTGGCAATTTTCCCAGCTTTCGCCAGGGTCTGCCTTACATGTTGTGAATAGTTTTGGCTAATTGTTTTTACGACCGGCCGCCTGCCTGACATCAACCCTCTTTGGGAATGCATTAATCAGTGAGGTCTAAATACTCTTAGAAAGTACATATGACTCGGAAAAATCACATTGGTACTTCTCAGGATCGAACCCGCGCCCTCATGCATGAGAGGCCAATTAATTTTAAGGGGCCATTTAACCACTAAGCCACCACTGACTTAATTCATGTATACATCTATAATATATAGATAGTTAATTTCGATTAGATAGAGCTGTACTATCATTCCACTCGCTGTAAGGTGGTAGGTGATCATACTATGTCAATATCAAACTATTCATCATTTTCTTTAAATTAATCTTTTGATAGAATAAACTATTAACTTAAAGGTCCATTTGTAAACAATATTCATTTACAAGATACATACATATCCCTACTAATATTATAAATGGGAAACTCTGTCTGTCTGTCTGTTACGCTTTCACGCCTAAACCACTGAACTGATTTTAATGAAATTTGGTACAGACATAGAGTAGACCTTGAGAAAGAACATAGGATAGTTTTTATCGCAGACTTTTGAAAGGTTCTCTTGGAAACGCGATATAACCAAACTCCACGCGGGCGAAAGCTAGTATAGTAATAACTCTTCAATATAATGAGCTAAGACTCTTTATAAATTGTATTTATATGTGTGTGCGCGTGCGCGTTACCTTCGGTCGGTGGTGCGTATAGTGGTGCCGATGCGCGTCTTGTCCCGCCGGGCTCGCCGCGCCCGACACGCCCAACTGCTTCATAGACGCTGACAACTTGTCCAACGCTGACAACCAAACGAGATAAATTATGTAAATATTAATGATATATACAAGTAATAGATAGCTTAGATTCTATGTATATAATTAACCAAGCGAAATAAAGTGTACTTTTGTTATATAAGAGAATTAAATTCGCATTTCGTATAGGACTCTCGCTATTTTTACGTATATATATGTCATTCTTGTTTAATAAGCTTTACTATTAAAAAAATATTTGAAATAAAGGTAGTTTATACAGCGATTAGTGATATATATTTTTTAATTTATCAATAATATTATGTAGGCAGTATTTTTTAATGAGTTAGATATATTAATTACTAGTTTTTGCCCGCGACTTCGTCCGCGTTGGTTTGGTCAAGAGTATTATATGTAGGTATAACTGACCAGGCGAACTCTATTCCGTCTTAGAGGCTATAAATAATCAGGTTTTTCCTGTTTCAATCAAACAGAATGATTGACATATTAGTTACTTGTCAAATCTAATGTCAAAAAAAGCATTTGTATGGGAAATAGAAAAGGGCTGTTTTTAGGGTTTTCCCGGCAATTATTCCAATTTTTCTCACCTTTTAAACCTTCCCTGGACTTCCAGGAGTATTTCAAGACTAAAATTAGCCAAATCGGTTCAGCCGTTCTCGAGTTTTAGCGAGACTAAGGAACAGCAATCCATTTTTATATATATAGAAGATAGAAGATAATCCTACTAATATTATAATAGCGAAAGTTTATGAGTGTATGTGTATGTTTGTTACTTCTTCACGCTCGAACGGCTGAATAGATTTTGATACAATTTTGTATACAGGAGGCTGACGTCCAGGAATAACACATAGGCTACTTTACATCCCGGAAATCCGCGCTTAACACCGCGAGGCGCAGCTAGTATATGTATAATAGTATATCAATACTCACAGCTACTGTTAGTGACTGTAGTATCCGAGGTCACAGGTTGGCTTGTAGGTGTGGGGTCCACTACTGATATAGTCTCGCTTAACTGTGGAAGATAAATATTAACATATAATACATAATAAAAATATTAATCTATATTAGGATAATAAATATTGGAATTAATAAATTTTGCATTTATATGAAATTTCAACCTTGATTTGACTTTTGTAAAAACATTTAAACAATAGTTGTGTATTATCATCATAATTTAAAAAACCAAAATTAGGATATATAAATATTGAAATTAATAAACTTTTCATTTAAATGGAATCTCTTACCTCGATTTTAACTTTTTGGACAATAGTTTAAACTTTTTGTCAAATGTTCAAAAACTACCCATTAATCACATATCATTTGAATTTAATCCCATAATCAATTTCTTTATACAAAACTTCATTCAACAAGAACTTATGTATCTCAATACTTATTAACTCACACTGTAAAACTGTCTGTTTTTGTATATCTATTAAACTACATTATATATAACACTCACCATACTATTAGCATTAGGATAATTATTGCTTGGAGCCTCCGTAGTAGTCTCATGGCTTGGTACAGGCTGGCTCTCAGGTTGTGATGTAACCTGCTGATAATTAACTTGAATTATGACCCAGTATTATTGGGCAGGTTGTACACATAATATATACAATTGATTATAGTCTTAATAAAGGTTTAGAGAATATTGTAGAATGTTCTCGACTTTGAGCGGCAGCGCCATCAAGTGACGAATGGTGGTACTATAATATTTTTAGGATATTACTTTTTTTAATGTTGATATAACCAAGTAGACTTTAATCGAGTGTGTTTTGGAATATTCTAATAATCGGATTATAGTGTTTAGGTAGGCTTTGAAAGAATCCATCGAGAAACGATGCAAGCGATATTACCTACGATTATAATTAACTTAATATTAGTGCTTTGTATGAAATATCTTTTAAATTAAATTTTTCATCTAACCCTAGGTCTTAACTGTAATATAACCATATATATATATCGTCGTATCATCCTATCAGAGCCCACTGCTGAGCTGTCTCTTCTCACATGGAGAAGGTTTGAGTATTAATCACGCTTGCTCAAGACGGGTTGGTGATTTCAAACTTATGAAATAGCTCATATATACTATGTATATAAAGTTCATTGAACCTGTTTGTTAGTCTGTACGCCGGTTGTAGGTGAGTGCGTGGTAGCGGGAGGCGCCGCCCCCTGCGCGGGGGCTGCGGGCTCGTGCAGCGCGTCAGGTTCTAGGGCTCCAAACTGAACGTCGATGAACATATTGCTTGAAGTATCAGTCCCGCCTGGCATTTCTACCGCTGACGACGGTATCTGAAATATATTACAAATCATTGGTTATAGGTATATCTTAATAAGTAGGTAATACTAGAAGATGCTTGAATGAAAGTATGCAACAAAGTAATTTTTTTATAATGAGATTTAAGATTTTCGCGAGAACTCATTGAAACGAAATTAATATTTTCGGATTTTCGGTTGCTGAAAAGTAGCCGAAACGTCGGGAGTATGTAGTTTATAGTACAAAAATAAAAACAAGAAGTAAAATCCGAAAATATTGGTTTCATTTTAAAGTATTTTTTTTACACTGGGTTCAAAGTATGCATGTATATATTGCCACCATAAAACGATATGAAATATCGAAATAAAATTGTTTAATCACATCAAGTCTACTTCCTAAGTCTACTTACCTATATAATTTTTAATGGAGTAGTAGTATTAATCATTATAGAGTTTTACAATATGTTGTACAACAATATGAACGGAAGTTAATATATTATATGTAATATTAGGTTTATTCGTTTTTATAATATAGTTTATTCAGTATATATTTACCTTTGAAGGCGGCGGTACTCTAACTCGTTGTTTGCGGGTCGCTTCACTTGCGTACACGCCGTAACCTCCGTACACACCTTTTGTATATACATTAAATATATTATATCTTGTATACAATTATATTTAGGATAAAGAATGACTAGAACTATGAAATAAATCAAACAAATTGTATGAAACACAGTAAACATATGTACTATAGTATGTATATCTTAAATAGTCTATTTTTTCTATTATTCTTTAAAGAAATCATAAACTCGAATTATAGATATAAGTAGGTAATTTTTTTTAATATGAGAACAATGCTTAAATAGGTATATAATAATATATAAGGCTTTTGTGAGTATTCATTTAATTGAACTATCTCATCTGCCCATGGTCAAAAGTGGTTGCTGCAAAGTAACCGAAACGTCGGGTGTATGTAGTTGTAAAAATAATAAAAAAAACATTAGTTTCATTTAAATAATAATGTACTGAAAAAAAAATCATTACCCTGAGAAGACCACACTTCAAACATATAATAATCTGTTTATATCAATGAATTTTCCTACTATATTTTCTAATACATTTTTTACATTATCCTACTAATAAAATAATTGCGAAAATTTGTGAGTATGTTTGTATGTTTGTTACTTCTTCACGCTCAAACGGCTGAACCGATTTTGATAAAATCTTGTATACAGGAAGCTGACGTCCAGGAATAACACATAGGCTACTTTACATCCCGGAAATCAAGGTAACACCGCGGGGCGCAGCTAGTTTCATATATACCTGAGTCGTGCCTCGCCTGTGTAGTAAACTGAGACAGGTACTGCGTCTGCGCAGCGCTCAGACTGCCAGACATACCCATCGGCTGGAAATAATAAACAATATTAATAATACAATAACATATATAACATATACATATATTATACTGTCTCCCTGCAATAAGAATTGTTATTTGATAGTTATTTATATATACTTTCGTGGAAGTTTTCGTGTATTTTAATAGGACCTACAAACCCTTAGTACATGATTGTTTTATTGTCAAAAGTTTTTATGCACGCACGCAAGCTCATATAAGTTGGTTTCATATTTTACACTTTGGGTTTCAAAGTAGAAATTTTCTTATGTATTTCCAATTTATGAAAAAAATATTGCTTTTCTCAATAAATGAACTATCCAACACTGAAAGAGTTTTTCGAATCGGACCATTAGTTTCTGAAATTAGCGCGTTCATTCAAACTCTGCAGCTTTAAAATATTAGTATAAATACTTTCACAAGTATAGAATTGTTTGTTTTGTTTTGTTGCACTGAGTGTAAATTTACAAACTTACATATCTCCCCTTCGCTAAAACCTTGATAAAGTACATGTCTGTAACTACTAGTACACGAAAAAATGTCCAACAACATCCAACATTTTCAAACAACGTCCAACAATCTCCATCAACGCCCAACAATCTCCATCAACGCCCAACATTCTCCAATAACATCCAACGTACTCCAACACTGTCCAACATCCTCCAATGTTCTCCAACATACCTGATGTTGTCCATATCCTTCGTCCGTCTTAGCAGCGGCGGTCGTGACAGGCGTAGTAGCTGCCGATACGGCGTTTGTATTGCTCATTTGCTGAAAACATTTACAAACAAATTATATATATGTAAAGAAGTATATAATTTTCTTCACTTGTCATAGTAAACACCAAATATTGTTATCTGTGGTTAATTTTAAAATGTATAATAAAAAACTTGTTGAATAGATCATGTTTATTTTATTTGTGATGTTGGAATGGAAACCGTAAATTAATAGCTTTAAATATCGTTACATTTCTTACAAATATATCTTGTTGTCTTATTAATAATAATATAGATAGTAACCTTTGTAGACCTAACAATAAAATAACTTCTTATGGCAGACACCCATTAATCGTTTAATTAATTGTATCATCCAAATATATGTAAATTTCACAAGTACAGTTCTTGTTAACTAAGCAAGGTATATGTTTTTAAAGCATGCTAGGTTTACATGCAGAAGACTGCAACTTAATGACACTCTGTTTAGCTTAGATTTCATTTTGTATGCATTAGTTGTAAGTCAGTTTTGTAAACTTAAATGAAAATTTAAAAAATTTATATCTTGTATAACTCACGGGTATATGTTGGTGTGTGTTGTGGTATGTGTATGTCGGTATGTGCTCACGGCCATTCGCCTCTCCGGATTCCCAATCCTCCTGTTACAAATAAAATATAATTATATTCAAATCTTTATACTATACTAGGAATTCTTTATACTAGTTCCTACATCCGTCTTTCCTCGTAAATATTTCTAATACTGATCTAACATAGTTATAATAGTAAGTCTTCCTCAAGATTGTTACATATCTAACATTCAAGTTCTTTGGTTCAAACAAGTACTTCCTGAGATAATATCATTATAACTATACATATACTATAACTATATATGTAGAACCATAAATATTTAATAAAACGCCTTATATTTTACATATCTATTATAAAAATTTTACTGTTTATTTGGAACATTCAACTCATTTAAATGAAACTAAGTTTTGTCGGATTCTAGACATTTTGTAAATTATTTTATAACTAAATAATCCAGACTTTTGCATGGGACACTTTCATATTGTCTGTCATTGACACTGGAAACATCAGGATTTAACTTAGTTTCATTTAAATGAATACACGAGAAAATTATAGATATCATAATGTTCCACTTATTATATATATAAAATAACGTTATATATACAGGGTGACTGGTGAATTACTATCGATATTTGAAGACGTGATATTTGACGATCATATATGACAAAATAAAAATTAATATAACATAAATATTAATAAACTTCTAAGTAAAGTTAACCAAAAGTTATGTAATTAATTACGCATCGTGTGAACACCCTACAGATTAGGTATACACTGACACTCACACATACGCGTGTCGTGACGTAGTGTTGTATCAGCACGCCGCCGCACGCGTCCACACTTGAACACTTGGAACGTGTCAACACTTTATTTATTCATACGGAAATTTTGTCAAAAATTAAGTGCCTATTTTTTTTACATAATTCGAATGAGAATCATGTACCGAGTTTTCTCCTTAAATATTGATAGTAATTCACCAGTCACCCTGTATATGTAATGTATACTAACAGTAGCGGCCGGTGGCTCTGCCTCGACCGGCAATGCATTGGAACTAGGAGTGAACACCTGAAACATTATACAGTTACATTAAAACATTTACTCTTTAATATTATTATTTTGTGATTTTTAACACGTTTATTTTTAAATTGTATGAAGAAACGAATATATTATAATATTGTCGATAGACAAATCTGTGCTAACTAAAAGGTAGCGCCATCTATAGTTTGTGGCAAGTCACTTCATAAAATATACAACTACATATAATTATAGTTATTGAAAAACTTTTCAGACAAAAACTACTAGAAATTTTTGTGTAAAAGAGCTATAAAAATTAATACATTGTCACAAACTTTTGCATTTTTATTTATATTAATAGTATTATACTGAAGTTATAGAGACTTATTAAGACTTATTAACATATTTATAGAAGTATATTAATAATAATTATATATATTAGTGTACCTTAGTATCAGATAGAGAGCCCGACCATTCCTCATTGTCCCAATCCTCTGTAGTGGGGAAAGAATCAATGTTACCACCTGCTGGCAATACAACCACATATATATATAGTAATATAGTTTAAGTTCATAAAGAAAAATTTATATAGGTTTGTCTTTGATGGAAAAAGTTCTAATAAGGTATTTAATGGGACAACACAATTAAACACAGTTCAATACTGTGTTTAAAATATTGTTATTAAAAGTATGTTTTATCATAACACTATTTTAATATGTGATTGCACTGCTAGGTAAGAGACCTTTACTTTTAATAATAAATTTCATATTATTTTTTACATTCATGTTCAAACACGCCAATATAGTGATATCTTTATGTATATAAATTTGTGTGTGTGTGTGCTAACATATCTCTTTACGTGTGTGCCTTTGGGTCTGTATCTTCATAGAATATAGTTATTGACATACATATCTGTGTGTGTGTGTTTGCTAACATATCTTTATACGTGTGTGTGACTTTAGATAAGTATCTTTATGGAGAGTAGTTATTGACACACATATCTGTGTGTGTCTATGTGTGAGTCTGTGTTTGCTAACATATCTCTTTATGTGTGTGACTTTTGGTATGTATCTTCATAGAATATAGTTCCTGACATAGATATCTGTGTATGTGTGTGTGTGTAATTCACTCTATACAGGTGTATGTATGTGTGTATAATTCACTCTATACATGTCTCTATATGTGTCTGTCTCTGTGTGTGTGTGTGTGTCTCTCACCGGTGTCGGGCGCGTGCGGCCAGTCCCCGTCCCTTGTCTGTCCGTGTGTTCTAGGAGGTCCCCCCCTCCTCGCCCCTCTGCCCGCGCCCCTCCCGCCTCTGGAGCCTCCCCTCCCTCTGCCCGCTCCCCTCCCGCGGCCTCCGCCGGCCGGCTGGTTGGACTCACCCTCACCGCGACCTGTATATATATATAGGATTAAAGACGAAACCTATTAGTATTCAATGTATTCATATACGTGTCGGGTCCATCGTTGTAGTGAGAGGAGCTTCAACAGTGACTGGGACTTGACCCAGGTGTAGGTTTAAGGGGCCTCTATGTAACGCGCGTTATACGCTCACCTCCACTGTGCAAGCTCATCTCTCTACCAAATTTGAAAAGAACCTACTATTGCTGCCTTCGGCGTACGCTTTAATAATGAATTAATGTGAGTTCTGGCAAATGTCTTATCCTAATCGTATATGAGTGTATGTTCATATCATTCATATGTTTGTATAGTACTTGTGTATGAATTTTTGTCTCTTTCTATCTTTACTAACCAATAACTCCCTCTCAACTGACGCCCTACCACATTCTACGTAATAAATTCATCTGTTTAATCTTCAAATCAAATGAGTGTAGCAGTATTACTATAAATAGTTATTAAATTCATACACCCTACTACAGTGCACTCATAGTACGTCATTTCGTGACACATTCACCATTTTAGTGTTCAAATCAAATGATTCCAGAACTACTATTAGAAGTAATACTTCCTGAATCTTTCACAATCCCTACTAATATTATAAATGCGAAAGTAACTCTGTCTGTCTATTACGCTCTCACGCCGAAACCACTCAACTGATTTTAATGAAATTTGGTACAGACAAAGAGTTGACCTTGAGATAGAACATAGGATAGGTTTTATCCCAGACTTTTGAAAGGTTTTTTTTGGGAACGCGATATAACCGAACTCCACGCGGGCGAAGCTGCGGGCAGAGCTAGTAATATAACATAGTATATTATATAACATACGTGATCTAGGCCCGGATCTACTGCGAGCATCTCTGTCCCTCTCAGCATCTCCATTGCCCGTTGGTTGAGAAGGTTTTTTCTTCTTTTTCTCGCTGGTCTGCCATTCACCCTGAAATACATATCAAAAGAATTTAAAAACAGTTTAACATTTCAATAGTATTGTAGAGGAGATAAAATATATTGCTAGTTTCCAATATCGGTAGTTTTAGGTTTAAAGAAGCTATTTAAAGAAGTATTAAATAAACATTTTGTATAGGCTGTTGGTAGAAATTAAAAAATATTTTATTTTAGACTAGACTATTGCAAAGCAAGATATGTCCTATCATACAAGTAGCTAAGAATAGTCTATACTTATACTACATTTTTTCAAGATCAATCGCATTAAAAAGGACTAAGTAAATGTCTAAGTAATAACTGATAACACTACTTCGCCTTAAGTTTAGACACTTTAAGTAAAATTTAAAAAAACTAATATGTTTGGATCACTACGAGTATTTTATTATTTTTAAAAACTACATGATTCCGACGTTTCAGCTATAATATGCGTAGTAATTCGAAAATCTTGGTTTCATTTAAATGAACACTCGCGAAAATCTGATATCTGTACAGATCTCACTATTAAATTAAAAAACTAATATGTTCGGATAATTACGAGTATTTTATTATTTTTAAGAACTACATATTTCCGACATTTCGGCTATAATATGCGTAGTACATAATTCGAAAATATTGGTTTCATTTTTATGAATACTTGCAAAAATCCTGGATATCATTAGATCTCACAAATATTTTAGTAATCCAAGAAGACACACACACAACTATTCACCTGCCGTGCTTATAAACATCCTTTTTTTTATAATCTTAATAATTCTATATTAAAAAATATTGACGCATTTCGATCCATCCAAATCCTACTAATATTATAATTGCGAAAGTTTGTGAGTGTGTGTATGTTTGTTACTTCACGCTCAAATGACTGAATCGATTTTGATAACATTTTGTATACATGAAGCTGACGTCCAGGAATACCACATAGGCTACTTTACATCCCGGAAATCCGCGGGTAACACCGCGGGGCGCAGCTAGTGTATCTATATGTATATCTATCCATCTATCTATCAATCTATCTCTCTACCTATCTATCTATCTATCTTACTATCCATCCATCTATCTATGTATCTATATATATACCAATCTATCTATCTATCTATATCTATATATCTCCACCTGTATCCGCTGGCTCTCCTCCAGCAGCAGGTTGCAGGCGGCCTGCAGATCATTGTCTGAATCATGAAGGGCCGAGCATACCTCCTCCTCGGTGCGACAGGTCATTTCCATCAACTCTGTCACCTGTACATATATATAACTTATATTATATACTTAATACTAGTTTTACCCGTAACATCGTCAAAACATATTATTTTTTTATTTATTATAGTACAATTTCTTAATAAAATTTTGCTAAGTTACTTTTAATTACAGAAGCAATATGCGAATTAAGGTTTCATCTAAATCAATCAGATTTCAGTTTAGACTAAACAAATGAACAGACAGACAAATATATTAAACTTAAAATATTAAATCAGCTTGTTTAATTTTTATATGGTTTATTAATCAAAAATTACTGAAATTAAACAATTAATATCGTAACAGAAAGTTTTTAAAACAATAGTTTAAACATATCATAAAGAGCTCTAAATAAATTCTTATGAGAAATATGTAAATGATTTTAAAAAGAAAATTTCAATGAAACTAATATTTTCGGATTTACTACACTATATTTTATTTTTGATTATTATTTGTCGATGGAAGTAAATGATAAAATAACAAGACCGACTGACAGACATTCACATCTCGTCTGCCCATTATCACGGCTGCTGTATAGTAACCGAAATGTCAGGAGTATGTAGTTTATAATCAAAAATAAATATCGCGTGGTAAATCCGAAAATATTAGTTTCATTTAAATGAGTTCCTACTCGCAAAAATCTTATATCTCATAACCTAAACACAGCTGCGTGCAAAAGTATTAGGCACCCCTATTGTTAGTCACTATCTCATTAGATAGCGGTCAAGTGTGTATTTTATGGTTTAGCTATTGTATTAGCGGCAATTTTTAACCAAATTAAGATAAAAGAAAATATTTATGACATCCAGGTGTGCTCCTAAGCGGTGTTTCTTCGAATTTGCTTTTTTTGCGTTTCGGGTTATAGTGTGTTATCAGTGCTTGCAGTGAACATACACGTCTTCTACGCAACTATTCCTATCACAATTCTAAAGACTAACATTTAACGTGTTAATCATGCCGAAAAATTCTGAACTTAGTGCTGAACAGCGTCTAAGAATTAAGATTTTACATGAACAAGACATGTCTCAGGTTAAAATAGCCCGAGAAGTGAAGTGCTCGCGATGTGCAGTTCAATATGCTATAAATCGCTTCAAAGAGACTGGCACCCATGAAAATAGACCAAGAACAGGTAGAATAAAAGTTACTACTGAACGGGAAGATCGATTGTTGATTAGGCAGTCTCTACAAAACAGGAAAAAAACTGCTTTAGAGCTTGCTGCAGCATTATCTGAGGCAAAAGGCAGCTCAGTGAGTGTTTATACTGTGAGAAGAAGACTTCTTAAAGCTGGATTAAAAGGATGTAAAGCAAGGAAGAAGCCGTGGCTGTCAGAACACAATAAGAACAATCGGTTGGAGTGGGCACTCAAACATAGAGATTGGTCAGTGGAAGATTGGTCCAACATACTGTGGTCAGACTAATCTAACTTTGAGGTATTGTTATTTATTTTATGTACAATATTAAAACACATAAATGTTTTTAAAATAACGTAATGCAAGAAAAATAATAACTTTCAAAATAAATGTTTTTTTTTCGTTTGGCATAAGTGTTTGGAACACCCGGTGTGACTTATGTTAGGCGAAGGGTTGGCGAAGAATACAACTCAGAATGTGTGGTTCCCACTATTAAGCATGGTGGAGGCTCAATAATGATCTGGGGCTGCATGGCTGCCGACGGAGTGGGCGAAATGATGTTGTGTGAGGGACGAATGATTAGTGTTAAATACACTGAAGTTCTGGAAACAGCACTAGCAACGTCGATAACGCAAATTTTCGGTGATACAAACATCGATGGCCTGAAATTTCAGCAAGACAACGTCACTTGCCACAAGTCCGCGCATACCATGAAGTGGTTTGCTGAAAATCATATTGATCTTTTGGACTGGCCACCACAATCACCAGACCTCAACCCGATTGAGCATATTTGGTCCATTTAAAAGAAAAATATCCGCAGGCACTCGATTAGCAATAAACAAGCTCTATTGGCCGCGTTACAGCAGGAATGGAAAAATATATCAAGAGAAGAATGTTTCAGGCTGGTAGAATCAATGCCAAAAAGAGTGGCTGCGGTTATTAAGTCAAAAGGTGGACCTACAAAATATTAATTATTTTCTTAAAATAAACCATTGTAATCATAAATGCAGTTTTATTTACACTCGCTATGCTAAAACACCCTAAAACTTGTCTTACTGTAGGGTGCCTAATACTTTTGCCCGTGGCTGTATAACTACTTATATTTATACTACCATACAGTAATAAATTACCTATTATGGAAAAATAATCAAGACAGTACGAAATTATATATGTGTGTGTGTCTGTATATGGGTATACCTAAGTAACATTAATAATGTTTGAGTGTGTATATATATATAATATTTTCCATACTAACCATTCTCCGTACGTCGGAGGCATCTTCACTCTTGCAGTCAATCATGTTGGCCATCCTAAGTTGTTCTGTGGTCGCCTGAAATTATAATGTACATATATTATGTATATTAAATTGTTTTATATAACATTAATACTATAAAGTCTTTCGTTTTCTTATTTTGTTAATATTCATCAAGTTTTCTTCACCATGAGAATACTTATTTTTATCAAAATGATCTATGTATATTATTTAATTCAAAATTTGGCAAGAAAAAAACTATTATTTTGTAACAAAGGTAATTGATTGTTTTATGATCAGTTCATATTTTCTTGATTGGCAAATTATTATTCTCAAATCTCAATAAATCTACTGACTATGTTTATTTTTTTATATTTTAATCTAATTTAAAATATCTATCTTAATCTTTCTCCTTACATTATTAAAATACTTATCATAAATCTCTTCAACAAGTGTCTTTTTAATTTTTATAAACTCTAGACCAACTATAGATAATTTTTCCATTTAGCTACAATATTATTTATTAAACATATTATTTTCCAATCAAAATCCCACACAGAATCACATTAAAAAGCTAGCTATTTATATTATACATACTTAGCACAATTTTATATAAATCAAAAAACTTTTATCTAAAAACTAAATAGTTGGTATATTTTCTACAATCAACTTTTAAAAATATAATAAATCATATAAAGCATGTTTTATTCAAATTTAAAATATTTTTATATTTACAAGTAATTGGTCAGTTTGAGGAATAAAATTTGCTTTAGAGCAAAAATTTTGTCGTGCTAAAATTGACAATTGCATATATCAATTACAAAACTGTGTCAGTAGGACAAAAATGTACATTAAAACATATAATGATAATATTAAAATAAATGATCAGTGATTTTTAATTTGTTATTAAAAATATGGGTAAATGTTCGAAAGTGTAATGAATTTCTAGTCAAAAGTTATTCAATAAAATTTTATTATTAATATCTTTTTTAATTTCGTTTCTTATACATAAAAAAAATAATACTTGCGTTAGCTAAACTTTCATACATAGCTTAAGTATTTGACCAAATATTTAATGTAATTTAAAATACTTTAGATATATTTTGGACAAACAATAAACTTTTGATTCATTAGTGAATGTGTATTTCTAGTAAACTGTTGTAGTGAAAGGATCTGTATGAAAAAAAAACAATTTTGAAAAAGGTATACATATATACTCCAAAAAATATAATTCTATAAGAAAAACCTCTGAAAAATATTATAAACAATTTTAACTAACACTCTACAAGATATTATATTCAAATTCCTTTTCTGAGGAATTGTCATGCTTTAACTTAAATCAATAAATTAATCTTCCTATTTATTTTTCTATAATCCCTAACAGAGGCTTTGTCTATGAATTTTTATATGAAAACTTAAATCACAGTACACTGTACAACATAATAAAGTATAGTATCCCTACTAATATTATAAATGCGAAAGTAACTCTGTCTGTCTGTCTGTTACACTTTCATGCCTAAACCAATGAACTGATTTTAATGAAATTTGGTACAGAGATAGAGTTGACCTTGAGAAAGAACGTAGGATAGTTTTTATCGCAGACTTTTGAAAGGTTCTCTTGGAAACGCGATATAACCGAACTCCACGCGGGCGAAGCTGCGGATACAAAGCTAGTACTAAATAAATATAATGGCTTTCACCATAGTATTAATATTGTTTTGCCGTACAAGTCATATACAGTAATACCCCTTTACGCGAGGGATATGTTAAAAAGAAAATCGCGTTAACTGAAATTCGCGTATATCGAGGTTTATGATTAAACGCAATCAAAATGTAATACACAAATATAAACATCATTTTAATCAACCACTTTAATTCTAAGAACACTATACAATACATAGGTACTCCTATTTTTTACGAAAAAATACATGTATTGTCTTTTGGGTAGCGTTTTGTTTACGTTCTTGTAAAATACAGTAGAACTCCAATTATCCGAACTCCGACTATCCGAATCGCCGATTATCCGAATCACTTTCAGAAAAAAATTTGTCCAAAAAAAGTCTAAGTGCGCTATTATTCTTCCCTCCGCGAAGTCAGTGTAGGCACAACGGCAAGTTAAGACCACAAAACAGCTTACATTGACGAAGATGTTTAAAAAACAATGATTTTTATTTCTAAACTTGTACATATGTACAATTTATTTATATTTAAAACATGTGAAAATATCATGTTTCTTTCATTTAATTCAATAAAAAAATAGCGCAATATCAAAACGTAACTTTTTTTTCTCTCCAATGGCAATTAAAAAAAAAAACTCCGATTATCCGAATATTTGATTATCCGAATGGGTCCCGGTCCCCATTAATTCGGATGATTGGTGTTCTACTGTAAGTTCACAACACCAAACACTGTTTTTAATCGTTTGACACACATTCAAGACACGGTCATCATTATTGTCTATAGGTACTCTGCAATGTCCCAACCTGAATAAATTTTTGAAATTCGTATTATAGTCAAACCGTGCACAACGGGGTCGCGATAAGTGGGGTATTACTGTACTAGTACATATCCTACATATTTTCATGGCTTTCATCATAGTATTAGTATTGTTTTGCCATACAAGTCATATACTAGTAAATATCTGTGGCTCTACCTGTGGTTTAGTCTTTTCCTTGGGGGCAGGTTTCTCGGCAACCTTTCCTTTGTCCTGCTTCCCGTCTTTCTTCACACCACCCTTGGTGGCGCGAGCTCCCAAACTCATCTTTATCAGCTATATTTACAGCCTCTATTTACAAGCAGCTGTAACAAACATATATTATGTTAAATCTATATATATTACATTAATATAGACATAATTGGTAAATATAATGTAATCTTGCAATATAATGTTAGACATGGTATAATAAAATAGCAATAAAATATTAGATCTAACTTAAAATGGAATCATCTAAGAAATATATAATTTCTGTAGATTGTCTTTATAAGAGAAAAATAAAGACATGTATGAATACCTAATAAAAATACAGTAACTATGAAAATTCACAAAATAATTGCTGCAAATTATGTAACAATCTTTTGTTCTTTACATGATCTACAAGCATACCTGTCTCTTAACAAATAATTTTGAATACATCATTACGATGACTTGAAAAACTATCATTCTTTAAAAACATATCACTTTATTAACTAGTAATACCAAAATATTGCCAGTATTATATTTTTTGTACTCAGCAAGTTGAATATTCTTCAGAATAATGTTGTATTATCAATGATGAAAATTAACACTAATATCTTGTGCAATGGAATATTTCAAAATTTTCTATAGGTACATTATTTAATAAACTATAATAGGATAATCAAAAATGCATTGCCAGTTCTAGTTCAATTAAAGTATAATATCTAGTTATTCTTATAACTCACATGGAGACAAAGAGTTATAAGTAAATTACAAAAATATATATATTTGGTGTATGGAAATTTCTATAATACATATAAATTATCATTAAAACTTCTTAAATGCTACAATTATGTTATATATACTAATAAGCATATTATATTTATAAATGAATATTTAAAAGATATATACATACTTATATAGAAATAAAAACAAATGGTACTTCAAAGTTTCTCCAACTCTTATGAGAAATACTATTAAACTTGAAAATAATAGAAATTTCCATATTTAATTAATTTCAAACTATCATTTAAGCTAAAAACAGAGTAAGAATCTTTCCCACGTATCTACAAATCAGTTATGTATACTCCGTATTAAATATCGATTTTGACTTGCATCTTTGTTTTCTTTAGACACTACATTATACGAACAATTTGTACGTGTATGAAGGAATTGTTATTGTTCATTGAACTATAGATAGGTTATCTAAAAACTATAAAAATATATCAATGATTAATGACTACGCAACGTTACACCGCGAAAGCAAAGGAAAATAAACAAACATTAAGCTAACCGATTAATTAGCCGTTTGAAAGTATGCATTGATGAAACGAACAATACTCTACAAAACTAGTATTGAATTATAAAATAATGTGATAATTGAGTATTTTTTTACCGAAGTGAAACAATGAATCATATAAAAAGCAAGGATAGAAACTATCTAAGAGTGGGCGAAGTCGTTACTTTAGATGTATATTCGTAAAATTAATGGTCCAAAGACTTTCACAGTTTAAAGGACTCAATGCCAACTATCTCTTAGACTTCTGAGGAAAAAGAAATATAATAGGCGGCACATGTGGAGGACGCCATTCCTGAAGCACCTTTCTTGGTATCAAAATGACAGTCTTTGTTGCCAAAATAATCTTACACGACACATATTCACACCTCATTTATAAACACATCATCACGTTTTCAACCTTAACAAAGATTTTACCTTAGAACTAAAGCCTAATCCGTAAATTAACACGATTTCTAATAAAATTTACGAATTTCCATACCTGTGAATGCGCTCTCAAACGCAAGCTGGTCACGTGACCACCTAGTGAGGTGCCATTATATAAATTTACGATTCAACGAATGGCCAGTTCCCACTATAATTATATTTTGTAATTTAAAAAAATAACATGCAGAATAATATACGAGTGCAATGTGCATTTTTTATTTTAATGTTATTGCATTTTTTTAAAAGTGTGAAATAGCATTCACTATTTGTATTTTAAATAATAATATGAAGTTCTCAGGTAACTTTTCTATTCACAAAGCTGGAAAGGTTTTCGAATTACTCTATAATTTATTTGCATTACAAAAACATAAAGGCGGTGATCAATTATTAACAGGTGTTTGTCTTCTAAGATAAATTAAAAACTTTAATATAACAAATTATAATATTTAATCTTCTAGAACTTATATATTTAAAAAAATCGTTTTATGGTAATAATTATTTTACTATTGATTTCCATTGATCGTCTTTTCAATAAGTTTGTTACAATTTATTTACAGCGATCTTGTGTACATAAAAAAGAAATTAAATATGAAAACGATGAATTTGAAATTGGTAATGAATTTAATATTCATAATTGTACTTCATAAATTCAATTATATTTTTTTATTTAAAATGCTTTTTCATTCTTATATATGCTTCTGTTACCAATAAGATATATTATTTTGATATAATATGATATCATATAGTATCTAACTACCTACCTATGGCTGTTATAGGGAGGTGCTAAGTTGTTAAGGATATTTTTTTGTATATTATCTGTTCAAAATGATCAACAGAATTTCCCGCCTAAACTTTTAATTGTCAAATTCCAACAGTCAAAATTCTTAAATTTAATTCTGTTTATTGAATAACAATACAATATTTTGATTAATTTGTTTGTCTTTAAAGTGTTATGTCGCTTTTAGAAGATGTATTTCTACGAGATGAAGCCGACGAAGCCCAGGAGTTAGAAAGAGTAATAGAGGGTGACGAATATGATGACAGACCCCGGAATAGGTCAGATAGTGATAATGATAGTGAACGGACAGACGAAGCTGGTAAATATTATATATACACATTACATTTCTAACATTGTGGTTAAAGAACTTTATTTATCTCTCATAAACAACAATGTTCACTAGAATGAGATGTAATACACAGTTCAATTCAAACAACAATACAGTAATGCAGGTACGAACCATAGAACTCGAGAGCGGTTAATCCAAGTGCTCCCTATAATAACCCAATAGTTTCCTCCTAAAAATCACAAACGTTTTTTCATTACTCTTGAAATTAAAATTATAATATTTTATTTATAGCAATTAGTGTGTAAAATATCTTAAAAATATCATACTTACATTTAAAAAAATATTTAAATTTATATATTTTAAGTTGCCATTAGAACCATTATTATACTTAATAAATTTGTGAATTCATGATTTCCAGAGGAAGATAAAAGAAAAGTTGACCCAGCGTCAGCTAAAACAAGACGAATAATTAAAAACCCAAGATTCGTTTTGAATCCTGCTAGATTAACTGGACCGAGAGGTATACATGTTATACCAGAACATTTCAAAGATTTTAAATTCAAAGGTAAGAAAATTACATTTACTTATCATCGGAGATAGTGCAAATCTGCGTAACTACCATTGGATAATTCTGTTTATCTACATTGGATGCAGTTTAATCATTTAGTGTTTAATTTATTACTAATTGTGAAAAAATTACCTTAAAGTCGTTAATATAGAAAATATTTCATTTTAAACTTTCTTCTGATAATCCACTTTCAATGTAGATATTTGGAATTATCCAATGCTAGTTTCGCGGATTTGCACTATCCCTGAGGATATGTTTTTATTATTAAAATTTGCTATAAAATTATTGATAAAAGAAACAAATGAGAATTAATTGAATTTAGTACATTTATATTTCAGGTAAAGGTCATGAGAAAGAGGATTTAGATTTAATTCTCAAGAAATTAGAACATTGGGCATATAGATTGTACCCTAAATTTCAATTTGAGGATTGTTTGAAGAAAATTGAAACACTCGGAAAGAAAAGACCTGTTATGGTATAAATTTTATTAATATTATTATAAATAAAATGAAATTGATGATAATAAGTTTTGATGAAGTAATAAATATATTTACATAAAAAATTGTTAATCCATTGTAGCTATTAAAATGTTTAATAGAATTATTTGAATAATACAGTAATAAAAGTTACTGGTGCCAAATTAATTATGCTTCTAAGAATTATGTTTCTAATTCGTAATAATAGTATCAAAAGACTTTCTATGCCCTTAAATTACTAACATAAATATATTTCAGTCAATACATATATTATACATATAATTTATATATATTGAAAAAGTTATTTCAAATAACCAATACTTACCTTTAATATCTTTTACTAAAATATTTGATGATAGCAGTTATATATATTTTTTAAGTATATATGTATACATATACCTATATGAAAGAATTTACTACCCTTTGTTTTGCCTTATTTAAAGTATTATGAGGATAAAATATTGAAATATTTTAAATATTAATGACATTCGCATTAATGTTTTCAAAGTATTCAATATTTACTATTCACAAATCTTTAAATGGGTACATTTATATGTAAATAAGTAAAAGTAATTCATGTTTACATGAAATGACCAAAATTTTTGATTGAGATTAAAATTTTAATAATCATTTTCAGGTTAATTTACATAAAATAAGATCGGACCAATTTACAACAGAAGAGCCTATAGTACAGAAAGATTCTACTGATGATGACGAACCTCAAGATGAATTTGACAAGTTATTGCAGCAACAAATAGATTTAGCTAGGGCTGCTGAGGCAAAGACAGATGAAACACATAGTCCTATAAGAAATAATGAGTAAGTTATTACAGTATTTATAGAGACAAAACCTCTCATCATTCAATGTATTCATATGTGTGTGTCGGGTCCATCGTTGTAGTGAGAGGAGCTTCAACAGTGAGTGGGGCTTGTGATCCAGGTGTAGGTTTAAGGGACCCTATATAACGCGTTATACGCTCACCTCCACTGTCCAAGCTCGTCTCTATACCAAATTTGAAAAGAACCTACTAGGGCTGTCTTCGAAGTACGCTCTAATAATGAATTAATGTGAGTTCTGTACAGGCCCAAGTCTTTTAGTAGGTTGTAGTAAGATTTCGCTGTTATACCTCTCGCTCCCACCTCTACCGCGTATACATTTACAATGAATCTATTTCGATTGAGTTCGTTAGTGAGTTCGTAATATTTATTAACCTTGATGGTATGGTCTTTGGGGATGTTGGTTTCCCAAGGAACCGTAAGCTCTATCCGTCATGAATATAGGCGACATTTTAGTGCTAATGGGATGCAAAAATCACCTATATCTAACCACTCGTTCTGCATTTCTAAACTCATTGCATGTATCTTATATTTATCATTCTCGTCTTGTCGAATAAAAAACTTCAATATATCCGTATCTTGGACTTTCCTATTAGATCCTAACCCTACTCTGTTACTTTGTATATCATAAACTGCTTATGGAATTGAAGTCGTGACTCTAGCTCGTGAGCATCTTTGTCTTTTGGCAGCGATGTAACTACGTCATCATTGGATTTTCCTAGGATATATAACTTGAAAACTCTTAGGTGTTTATAGAGGTTCGGTAATGTATTTCCCCACACCCGTTCGTGTAAAAAAAACAAAACTAGCCGACAACTTTCCCTCGGTACGTCAAAAGACAGTATAACCCGACAAAGTATATTACTCTACGTAACCAAGAACTCTGTCTTTCACAAAATTTAACTTGACAAATTTTTTGGCGAGAATTAAATAAATAAATAAAGATCTTATAGATACATACTTTTAATGTCAGACATTCACATCTCATGTGCCCGTTATCAGGGTTGCTGAAAAGTTGCCCAAACGTTAGGAGTATGTAGTTTTATACATAAATAAAGTCGCGTAGTATAATCCGAAAAATATTAGTTTCATTTAAATGAATAAAACTCGCGATAATCTCAGATTTTATTACATTTATATTTTATACTATCTACAGCTGTTATTTATTTCATTCCCAGGCCTCCATCACCGAAAGCGACTTCATCACCATCAATAAGTGATGAACAGAAAGAAAGGATGATGAGAAATAGAAAATTAGCTGAGGAAAGACGGAGAAATAGAATGTTAGCACAAAGTGTTACTAAAGAAGTTATACCGACATTAAATAATGATGATGGCATTAAAAATAATGATGATGGCATTCAAAATAATGGTAATGGCATTCAAAATAATGGTGATGGCATTCAAAATAAAATTGATGAAGATTTGGATACAAATATAAGTAGGAGTAAGAAAATAAATAGATCTAATGTTATTGATAGTTCAGATGAAGAATCATGTGTAGTGAATGAATCATTTACTGTTGATATACATAATGTTACAACAGAAAATGTTACAAATAATAATGAAAATATTAATAATGATGAAAATTGTTCAGATATAAAAGATAAAGATGTAACTTTAGACAACGAAAAAGATAAAGATATTGTGGAAAGTGAAGATATGTTAAAAAATAGTAATATTAATGTAATTAATGGTAATAATGATATAGAAGAAATTAATGATTCAGAAACAATGTCAAAAGAAATAGCAGAGAATGAAATTATGGATGTTGATTTTGATGTATAGCTGTTTGTTGTATGTTAGGAATATTTATTATTTTTGTATGAGATACAGTATAATTATTATTTATATGGTTTGTTCTGTAAAATTAAATTCTTATAATTAAATCACGTTCACAAAGGAAGAAATGACTATTAAAATACCTTATTTATTTAAGTCACTGTATGTTATAGTGGAAATATATATTGTAAAGTTTTCTGTATGTGTCTAAGTTAATTTAATCAAAAATAATGAATTTGCCTTAACATAATACCACTACTAAATCTTTTAAAATCATAAAATGTTCCAACAACCTAACTTTCTTTATACTTACAAGTTTTTTTAGTTATTTGAAAATTTTCACCAAAATTGGTAATTTTAACAGTCATGCTTCATCATTTTTATTCAGAGAAAACTTGTACTATTCGACATATATATAAAACGAACAACATTTCCCAAAAAAGGGTTAATGTCAGGTAGGAGGCCGGTAGTAAAAACAATTAGCCAAAACTATTCACAAAATGTAAGACAGACCCTGGCTAAAACTAGGAAATTGCCAGGTAGAAGAAAACAAAATAAACAACATACATTATTTACCAAATTATAGTTAACCTAATTTAGAGATACAATTAATCTTATATGAGAAAAAAGTATATATATTAAAAGCCATAGTATATTATTTACATCAACTATAAAACATGTTTCTCTCAAAAAACAGTATTGTTCAGAATTAGTATATGTTTGGAATTATTTATTCCAAATACAATACATAATAAATTCAAACAAATTTAGTTGTGTCACTAAGAACTACTTACTGATCTATACTCTAGAGTGAGGTCATTTCTTATGTCTAATAAATAATGTCTTTATATATAATCGAAAGATTTTCCCTAAACTCAATAGAATGGAACTTTCCTGCTTGTAATAATTCTCAATTTAATTTCGTTTTAAAGTCATAAAGAAATAAGAAGAATAAGGAAAACGTGTTGAATATTCATTTTAACATTTTACATTATGCAAAGTTTAATCATATTTTTAAGTTTTAAATAAATATTCTACAATCCTTTTTAAAGTATGTTGATTCAACTAGAATAAATATTCTTTATGGCAACACCAAATAAAAAAAATAAGTAAAAATAATATCTAGCAACATCAATTTCATATAAAAATTAAATCCTAAGTTGGATTTCAATTTGAATGTATGTATAAATAAAAACAATTAAAATTTTTAATATTTTTATTCACTATAATCGGAACAAAACGAGTCTTATCACAGTAAATGATTTCATTTAAGCTAATATCAGAAATATAAATAACCTTATATTAAAAATGCATGATCTTTGTAATATTGATGAGTTTACTAAATACATACTGAAAAAGCCAACTGAAATTAGTGAAAAATATGGAAACTATTTAGTCACAACTTCTTTCAAAATGATACATAGATTAAATTGTATTAAAAATGTTATAATATTCATGAAAATTACATTTAATATTTGGTATTGAATACACAATGAGAACTTAAGCTAAAAACTTCAGAATGATTTATCTACAATAATAATAGCCTAATTTTACATGGCATATACAATGTTTTTTCACAGAAACCACAGATTTTAATACATCGATATTTAATTACACTGGAAAGGTCACAGATAAAACAAAAAATATCCCGTCAATAAAGAAATAGTCAATTATTACTGAACAATTTCGGTTTTTCATTCATAAATCTTATACACCAATATCTATGTAGACTTATGATTAAAAAACCGGTAAAGAAAAGATTATATAACGCAAATAAAATTCCAAGCTTATTTCCATCAACGGGACATTTCCACAGCGTAAACATCGCTTCATCTATATAAGAATACCATAAACAACACCTGTTCAATTTCAAACTATCGTCTATTACCATAGACAATCTAAATAACCTTAATACAACTAATTACTAAACTGTACAAAGATAATTAAACGTCAAGCGACCATAGACAAATCAATTCGTGTCGGGAACTAAGCTTGTGAAGAATGACGTCACTATCATCCATGTGACAGCTAGTAGCGATTGCTGGTTATCGTTATTTCGGTTATTTCCGTTATTGCCGTTATTTCCGTTATCGTCATTATGTGTTTGGTCGTTGTTCTGTTGACGTGGCTCGTTGCGTCTCTCGTTCACTTGAAGGTCGCGGAAAAATCCAATTTGACGGCTGTTGAGATTAGTGTAATTAGTTAAGGAATTTTTTTTATACGATTTCAATGCTTTTTTTATATTTTCATGGTATTATAGGAGATATTGATGAAGATTACATATTTAGAAAAATAAAGACTGGTTTTACACATTTCGATAAACCTGTATTTTCTAGGTTGTTGTATTTAATTAATCACAGTTACTGAAAAGTTATCGAAAAGTCGAGTAAAATTTTAAACAATATATGTGAAATAAAAAGTTTTGTAGGTATAGTTTTGTTTGTTTATCGTAGTATACATACACTTATTTTACACTATAAGACAAGTACTACAAATAAATATGTAATTTCATCAAAATCGGTTCAGCCGTTTGAGCGTGAAGAAGTTACAAACATACACACAGACTCACAAACTTTCGCAATTATAATATTAGTAGGATATGATACTCACAAGTAATAGAATAGTCCAAGGCATAGTATGACTACTAACAGCCTCGTAGGGCTTCCGTACAACCAAAATAATGACAGTAGTATGCCCACGCGCGAGGCCGCGTATAGATGGTCAAGCCAGTCGTGTTGCTGCTCGGGCTCCGGTGCCGGCGGGGGCTCCGCTACCGGCGCGGGGGGCGGGGGCGGAGTCGCCGCTCGAGTCCTTGAAAGATAGATATAGTATTAATATTATACATCACTATATAAAGGCAGACCCTGGCTATAGCCGGGAAATTGTCGGGTAGAAGAAAATCACGAACTATATATACGAATGTTGTGTTTTTTTTATGTGAAAGATGACAAACGAGCAGAAGGTAGTCACACTCGGCAATAGACATCATTAACATATGTGATGTTGTAGATGCATTGTAGAAGGAAAGGGTGGGAAAAAGGAAAGAGCTATCATCTCTCTCACTCATCGGACGAAACGCATCCATTAAAGACTACTTCACGCCGATCTTCAGTGAGAGGGTGGTACTTCCCCGGTCGAGCCAGCACATTTTCGAGCTGTAGTAACCACAGCTAGGCTCTACCTATTAACTAGTGGTATATAATCAACTTACATGTTAGCATACTGTTGCATATATTGAACATACGCTTGTTGCATCATCATTATATGGTTGGCCATTGACGCCGGGTCATTTGGTACAGGCAAGTAGCCATCACCAAAATTATAATTCGGATATGGCGGGACTCTGCCATAGTTATTCATGTATGAACTGAGATAATTCTGCATTTCGACGCTATGGTTCTGATCATTCTGCCTTGTTTCCGGTCTGGATATCGTTTCCGGTTGATTTTCTGGCTGCGCTGCCGGTACGTTCCTCTGACGTAATTCTGATTTGATCTCCTCGTGAGACTCCATTCTTTTGCTCGAGCAGACTAAGTGCATAGTATGAGTTATTTGACTCTCATATTTTCTTAGCACGTCCTTCAAGACGCTGTTGTCGTCTAATAATTGACCTGAGTATATAATCTTCTGGTCATCTGCTTTCTGTAATTAAAAAAAACATAAATAAATAAATATATAAGAAATCAGAGATAAACGGGTAACTAATTAAAGACATGGAAAGCCTTTCGTATTAATATCAACAAAAATATAGCTTCAGGTCAAAACAATTTAGATAAAACAAATATGTACCAAGTGATATAAAATCTTAAATTAAAAACCATTTAAAAGAATATCAAATATCCAACAAGACCTATATTTAAAAATAATAATAAAAAAAAAACTATTGACAAAATACGAATATGTTTATTTGATCAAATGTAAACTGGTTTAAAAACTGTGTCAAGTTAAGTGATAAAAACAAAACGAGTTTATGAAAGTATATTTATATTTTTATGAATTCCAAATTTAAAAAAATGTCCGACTATACCTAAATATTTCGATAATTACGCAGTAAACGAGAAAATTCTAATACAAAACGGTTGATTTAGTAAATTTTGTTTTTCGTATCAAACAATATTAGTCGAAAATAATCCTGTTTAAAATGCACTAAGAACAAATTCAATCGCAACTTCTTTATACAAGCTAAAGGCTAAAGAATTTTTATTATCTAATTGAAACAGAGACATAAAATCGCATATACTATTAAAGAACAAATTGTTTCATTATAAATATAATGAGTCGTCATTGTTTGCACAAATCGACCTTTGAAACACAATACGCCTGAATTAATAAACAAAATTGTAAGCACTAACCAACGCCCACATCACATATCCGTATTCACAAAACAAAAGACAAGATAACATAAAAATAAATACATTTTAATATAAAAAAACTGTTAATATTGCAAATTACCACAAGCAAATAGCGACTCTGACGTCAATAAAAGCGATATAATATTATAGAAACCGGTATTTTCATCGTAAACCGTAACAAAATCAAAATTCAACACTTTAATTAAACATATTAAATTAGATAAAATTTAATTTCATATATTACAAAACAAACAACACTTAATAATATTGCTTGTAATATATTTGATAGGTAAAAAAATATAATTTATAAGTAAAACTAAGTGAATTTACCTAAATTCACTTCCGACGGCAATGCATAATTTGATGCTTCAAAACGACAAAGTCAGATGACATTGACGCATTTTATCTTATCTTTGCATAAGTCATGCGTTTTATGATAAGAATATTGAAGAAAGTTATAAAAAACAATGATTAGTTATTAAAATATAAATATCTATATAACATAGAAGATTACAAGAGATGGTAAAAATGATTTCTGAAATATTATGAAAATTTTAGATGTACTGAAAATCTGTGACCATTTAATACATGAAAATTGCAAAGGGCCATGTAATGTTTTATGCTAAGTGGTCACGTTATGAAATATCATATAAAACAATACATTATATTGTTAATTAATGTGCTATTTGTTTAAAATTATCAATTGTTATTTAAAAAAAGAAAGTCCTGTACTCTTGCTACCAATATACCTATCTACAATTAATTTTATACACACAATGAATTCATTTTACACTTTTCAAATTTAGAACATAACATGTTTTTTAAATGTTCTTATGGCTCTGGATACTAGTCCTTTTGAGCCTAAGAACAAATCAAACTTTAGCTTACCCATTAACAGAAATGTTCTATATAACAAATATATATCGAAAATGAAATTAAAAATGTTATTTAGTTAGTAGTAATTTTTATGTTTTATTAAACCGTTAAACTGTTATCGCCAATTATAATTAGATATTGTTAATTGGTACATAAAAAACTTTCTTTCATAACATAAAATCTTTACATTTTTAAAACTGTTCAACCTAAACAGTATATGATCAAAAAATTTTTTTTTTTAACTTGTTTACAAACATGCCAGGAATTTTCCATAGAATTATATGTAACCTCTTTGTAAGCTTTAAAATCAGTTAATATTTCAAATTAAAGTATAGAAAATATATTCTTCGAAATCATAATTAAAATCAGATTTTATATCACATATCTGATAACTGAGTAAATATCAGATAATTATTAATAAAATCAAACAAAATTGAAATAAAAAATAATATTAAATGCACTTTTAGTTTTCATTATGGTTTTTTTAAATGTCTGTACTAAAATTTATATTGTATTTTTATTTATCAATTCCTATTTTTGCAATTCTTCTTAGATTTTTAACAATTAATTAGCAATATCAATGTATTGTTCACTTGTGATGTAAATAAAATATGTTATGAGTTTTTTACTAATAAAATAATGCTCAACTAAAGATATTTTTATAGTTATGTTGTATTAAATATACAACCACCTTTTATACCTTTAATAAGTCATAGTTTTATAATGTTTAAAGAAATATTTGTTGGGACGAGTAGAATCTTTCTTATTTATATTAATGAAAATAAATAGAAATATTATAAGTGCCTAAGGTACTCTTTAACAGATTTTTAATCCACTATTGAAGGTACTAAGGAAATAAATCTATTTATGTTAGATGATCCGGAACAAACGGACAGACAAATAAAACGTAATAAAATACTATACTTATATATTTCCCATATAAATGAAAAGTCATTTTAATATAACAAATATAAATCAAATTTATTTATTTGTATAGATTGTGTTCAAAAACATCTCTATTTACTGCCATATTAATTCATGCTCTAATTTTATTCAATTACTTTGAATATGTAACAGACAAGCTTTTAAATATTTTTATATATTTTGTCTACAAGAGATAAGACTATATAATTATAATAATTAACATTCTTTTGATAAGCTTTGTTATAAGGACTACTTGACTCTATTTTATATTAGTAATGTTTTTAATGCATAAATATGTATTTTGCATAATTTTCTTTAAGCTATATAGGGTTTATTGCGAGCGATTTCGTCACTGATAAGAGTTAACCATGTTAACTATGAAATATTTAATTACCTATATTTAAATGAAAAATTAAAGCTTATGTAGAATATATGTGTGTGATTTACCTATTAAATATTGCAGTGCAGTTAAAAGTTACATTTTGGTACATTTGGAAAACCGAAATGTCTGTTTGTTTTTATGAAAACATTTAAGTTACGACTAAGATTAGTAAAATAATTACCGGTTTGCTTGGGTATACTTCGGATAAATGCCCCTTCAATTGTCTTACAGTCCAAGAAGTCTGGCACTCGACGTTTTGATCTTCTATTTGCTGATTAGGAGCCTTCACAATCAATGTAACGTTATCGGGTAGCATAGTTGCTATTTCTGAGCACTATTAGATAATAAAACCAATCCACATAAGAATCACAGTAAAAACTAATATCACCAGGTAAATTGAATGATGTAATATCAACAAGAGATTTAATATAATTTTTTTATCAAGCCTTGCGTTGAACAGCGAGTTATAATCCGTTTAGACGTACATAAATAAATACTTCGTAAAATAATAATCACCCACACACTTGTCAATTTGCCATCAAATTATTTGGCCGGTTCTGATTGGTCCAACAAATGATGTATAATTATGAGTAGGTACCTATTGTTTTTTTTTTTTAATGATTCTATAATTTCATTGCTTCTATACAGCTTATCTAGATAAAAGTCTTTAATTGATTGAAATTTACAAAAATATTTACGGTTTTCCTTAAAAATATTTTCGTTATATATTTTGGGTTTTAGTAATAAATGTATATTTTCAAATATATTTTAAAAGTTTACGTTTTTTATTATCTTTATTTTTTTACAGGTAGCGTCAACTGTCAAACTGCAGTTACAGTTTATTGTTATGTCGGTGTATTTAAATTTCATTTAGATAAAAATAATTAATTTAAATGCAACATAATTCACATACTACACAAAATAAATGCTTGTAATATTATTTGTGACAATGTTATAAGACCGGCGTAATATATTTAACCTTAAAGTTAATATTTTTGAACTAAACATGGGTGTAACGGTGTACGTATTATACATTAAACAAAAACTACATACTTTTTACTTTATATTTTATTTATATTTGCTTCAGTTTACAGCAATATCCGGTTCCTGAAAATAAAACGGGAACCTATGTTATAGATTTACTTACAAAAAGAATTTTAGCTCTTGGTGCTACACAGGCGGGACAATTTTTAGTGGATTGCGAAAGTTATTTATCACATCCAACTATGGGTAAATAAATTTAATATAAATATTTATATTAACAATTTTACTTGTGCTAGCTAAAAAACTAATTATTTATATTCATTTCTATTTTATATCAATATTATAGGTTCAACAAAAACAGTACATATATTACATAATTCAGAACAGCCAGCGTCTGTATTTTCAATACTCGAGAGCGGTACAAAGAACATTCATGTGATTGCCGACGGGCTCTTCGATTTACTCATGATGAAGCTATCACAACATTACACATCCAAAAAACAAACAAAGATTGAGAGCAAAGGTCCCAAGTTTGAACTCGGAGATTTCTGTATCAAACTCGGCTCTGTTACAATGAATCAGAATTTTAAAGGAATTCTTATTGAGGTAACTGAATCTTTATTATTAATTATACACTGTGACTGGTGAATTACTATCGATACTTGAGGATGTGATATTTGACGATCATATATGACAAAATAAAAATTAATATAACATAAATATTAATAAACTTCTAAGTAAAGTTAACCAAAAGTTATGTAATTAATTATACATCGTGTGAACACCCTACAGATTAGGTATACACACACACACACACACGCGTGCGGCGGCGTGTTGATACAACACTACGCCGCCGCACGTGTCCACACTTGGAACACTTGGAAGGAGTCCACACTTTAGTTATTTATACGGAAATTTGGTCAAAAATTAAGTACCTATTTTTTTTACATAATTCGAATGAGAATCATGTACCGAGTATTGTCCTTAAATATTGATAGTAATTCACCAGTCACCCTGTATATTTTTACTAGCTGCACCCCGCGGTGTTACCCGCAGATTTCCGGGATGTAAAGTAGCCTATGTGCTATTCCTGGACGTCAGCTTCCTGTATACAAAATTTTATCAGAATCGATTCAGCCGTTTGTGCGTGTAGAAGTAACAAATATACACACACACTCACAAACTTTCGCAATTATAATATTAGTAGGATTAATGAATTAACTTTTAATACATTTTACAACACTATAATAGTACTTTTCACTTGCCATATATACAAATTATATTTGTTAGTTTTGTTGTATAAGTAATTGCTTTTAATTATATTTATATGAGTATATATGATACATACGGCAGAATATTCATTTTTACAAGTTTTTTCATATATTTTGTTTTGAATAATCTCAGAAACAGTTGAATTCTGAATTTCTTATATGTATTTAATTGGCAATTAGCTAATTCGATAGAATTAACATTGGCTATTCTTATTAATTTAATAATAAAAATGATAATTCTATGTAGTTGAAGTTAAAATAAAAAAGCTAATAAATCATTAGTGTAGTTTTTTTACAAAAATATAGCATTCATAGTATATCTGAAAAATATTAGTTTTATTTAAATAAAAGCTAATCTTCTTCTACCTGGCAATTTCCCCGCTATAGCCAGGGTCTGCCTTACATGTTGTAAATAGTTTTGGCTAATTGTTTTTTATGACCGGCCGCCTGCCTCACATTAACCCTCTTTTTTTGGGAATCAGCAATAATCAGTGATATCTAAATATTCTTAGAAAGTACATATGACTCGGAAAAATCACATTGGTACTTGCCCGGGCCAGGATCGAACCCGCGCTCTCGGCAACGAGAGGCGGGCCCTTTAACCATTAAGCCACCACTGACTATAAATAAAAGCGAATACATAATATTATTCTATTTTCAGGTGGAATATCGTCCCTGTGTCATGGCAAATGCTGTTTGGGGATTATTACGAGAATTCTTGCAAGGAATTCTCGGTTCAACAATATCGGTTCAACCACCACAGCATTTACTGAGCAGAATGAATGAAATATACACACCAATTGACACTATATATCAATATTTAGAACATTTTAGTGCTTATCGGAAAATAACTGGATTAAGAAGTGCATAGGTTGAAGTGAAAGAAAATATTTTCATAAGAATCTTATATTACTTATTAATTTTGTGTATTATTCATATTCAGTATAATAAAGTACTTACCACAAATTATTTAGTTGAACTACATACATTAAATTTTTTCAGTAATATTTTTGCATAACTATCAATGTAATATTGAACAAGATCAATTATGTATGTAGTTTTTGAATACAAATTTGTAAGGAAACCACTTTATATTATGAATTGATAATAAAATTTTGTTTATATTTATCGTTTTATTTCTATAACAAACATTTCTAAGAGGAACCAACATCCTGTAATACACAAACATTTAATAAACAATAACAATGTGTTTATATTTTTTATTGAGTTAAATCAGTTTGTGAATTGATATCAATCAAAGTACAATTATAATTATGATAATATGTTATTGTGTTATAAAGTGTTGTTCGTTTTTGTGTTATTTAAAGGTATTTTTTATTTTATCTTATAATAATTTATGAACAAACTTTCAATTAATTATTTATGGTAGTAGATATTTTGAATTGTTTAAGTGATTCATTGAATTTAAAATTATGAATATATATTAAGAATACGGTAGTAATATTCATCTATCATCTATCTGTTTCCAACCTGTTTTTGTAACAATCCTTTTGCTATGAAATACTAATAAACTAAAAAAATATATTAAATAGAACTAATTTATAAATCTTGTTTATATTTATACAAATCTAAAACGTTATACGACGTTCGCTCTGTCTCACTCTCTCTCAATAGGTTTCGATCGCACTCTCTCTCTTTTTCGACACTTCCGTTGCAACCGGCGTGACGTTACATCTGTAAAATTTTACCCTCATGCGCCTAAGGAAGTTTCACTTCAGAAATTCGCTTTTTTTGTACTAATTCCTGGTATTTGTTTTTAAGTATCGACAGTAGACCCGGTACAGTTGGATGTCATTGACTGCGGGATTGACCACGAGCTTGAAGTGTCACAAGGAGACGTCGATATTACAGAGTATGCCTGGCTCGGGATATTTTATTATAGCTATTGTAAGTATTTGTATACCTAAAAGTATTAAGTAACTAGCTTTTCGCCCGCGTGGAGTTCGGTTATATCGCGTTTCCAAGAGAACCTTTCAAAAGTCTGGGATAAAAACTATCCTATGTTCTTTCTCAAGGTCAACTCTATGTCAGTACCAATTTTCATTAAAATCAGTTCAGTGGTTTAGGCGTAAAAGCGTAACAGACAGAGTTACTTTCGCATTTATAATATTAGTAGGGATTAAAAGTTATTATGGATTTTTTTGTTTAAATATTGACTAATGTTAAATTAAATCAATATTATTCAGATTACTAAGTATAGTAATCCGGATAGTATTAGTTTAATTTAAATGAAAACTTGCGAAAGTGTTAGATCTTATTATTGTTTATTATTTATTGACGAATGTTTTTTAAAGGATATTTTTGTATATTAAAGTATGATTTGCATTGAAATTAACTTACAGAAGCTTAAATTTTGATATATTTGTGTGTGTGTGTGTGTACCTAATCTGTAGGGTGTTCACACGATGCGTAATTAATTACATAACTTTTGGTTAACTTTACTCAGAAGTTTATTAATATTTATGTTATATTAATTTTTATTTTGTCATATATGATCGTCAAATATCACGTCCTCAAGTATCGATAGTAATTCACCAGTCACCCTGTATATTCAGAAAACAGCCAGTTTAAAAACAAATATTTGTCAAAGCCCATTTGATTTTAGGTATTTATTTTATAATTGTCTCTTGTATGGTAATTTTATAGCGTTTTTTTTCTTGTTTAAGATGGTGCCGATGGTGAAGATCGTGCTGTGACAACTGTGGCATTAATTCAAGCTGAATTTGTAATAGCGCCGGCAGCTGATATCGGACCAATACCAAAACATGATTTCAGGTACCTAAGGAATGAGAACTAAGATCAGTTCGTTCTTGAAACGTAAATAATTCGAAGGCAGCCCTAGTAAGTTCGTTAACAATTTTGGTAGAGAGAGGAGCTTGGACGGTTGAGGTGAGCGTATAACGCGTTAGGTAGGGGTCCCTTAAACCTACACCTGGGTCACAAGTCCCAGTCACTGTTGAAGCTCCTCTCACTACAACGATGTATTCGGCATCCGCACTGTGAATACATTGAATGACGAGAAGTTTTGTCTTATTACTTAGGCTTCGAGTACTAAATGAACTGTAATTTTTGTCTGTAAAATTTTAAAAATTGGTACTAAAACTTAGTTTTATCAAAACCATTGAACTAACTTTTTAAAAAGACAGAAACCAAACATGAAGTAATTTGGTTAGAATAAGTGGTGTTATGTATTGGACGGTAGTCAAATCATTGATTGTACGTCATTAATTTCAAAATGTAACTATTTAGATTCGTGCCTGTATATTCCCAGTAAAGCTAACTTTATACACATGATAAGCTCGCTGTAATAATTATATACTATTTTCAGCAATTTATTAACAAAAAAATATTTTAGAACATTAATAAATAGCATATCTTACTACGTCTATATTCTCTGATTGTCTATGGTTTTTAATGGTTATGTTGTTTTTTTAAATAAAACCTTCTTGTAGAAAGAATTCCCGCGTTCTGCTTGGGCAAGACTGGGGTCCAAGTAATTATAAGGTTCGGAACTACGTCATACACCCAGAGTATGAAGAAACTTACAACACCATAGCTTTAATACAACTCAGTACACCGGTAAGGAGCGGTAAGTTTTGTTTATTTGATAATAATATGAATATTTTTACCTTTTCAAATACTACCAACGAAAATAAAACTAAGGTATTCGGATTTATTATGCGATTTTTGTAATTTTAAACTATATACATACTCCCGACGTTTCGGTTACTTTGCAGCAACCGTGATCGCGAAGGCTAGATGACAATCCTTAGTTTTATTACAATTTATACTCGTGAATGTCTTACATGTTACTATTATCAAGGGAATAAAAATTTTATTATATGCTTCGTTGATCAGAATTTAAAAAAAATCTGAATTAGTATTTTTCGTGTAATCACTTAAAGTTCAATGTAGTTTTTGGTTAAACGGTATTAGTATTACCTTTAGTTCGTATCGTCACACTACATACATAGCGTTAACAGTTTTCATGTTGAAATCTTTGCATATTAAGGTAGTTTATTTAATGAAAAATGTGAAACTTAAAGTTTTATTTTAAACTAGTTTTTGCCCGCGACTTCGTCCGCGTTAGTTTGGTCAAGTGTAATATATGTAGGTATAGCTGACCAGGCGAAATCTATTCGATCTTAGAGGCCATAAATAATCAGGTTTTTCCTGTTTCAATCAAACTGAATGATTGACATATTAGTTAGTTGTCAAATCTATTGTCAAAGAAAACGTTTGTATGGGAAATAGAAAAGGGCTGTTTTTAGAGTTTTCCCGGCAATTATTCCAATTTTTCTCACCTTTTAAACCTTCCCTGGACTTTCAGGAGTATTTCAAGACTAAAATTAGTCAAATCGGTTCAGCCGTTCTCGAGTTTTAGCGAGACTAAGGAACAGCAATCCATTTTTATATATATATACTCGTTTTTGCCCGCGACTTCGTCCGCGTTAATTTCGTTATTAGTAATATAGGTATAGCTGAACGGGCAAACTCTATTCCGTCTTCAATAACCCGGTATTGGTATTTATTAAATTTCTACTACTTCAATCGAACAGAATGATTGACATATTAGTTAGTTGTCAAGTCTAATGTCAAAAAATCGTTTGTATGGGAAATAGAAAAGGGCTGTTTTTAGGGTTTTTCCGGCAATTTTTCCAATTTTTCTCACCTTTCAAACCTTTCCTGGAATTCCAAGAATATTTCAAGACTAAAATTAGCCAAATCGGTTCAGCCGTTCTCGAGTTTTAGCGAGACTAAGGAACATCAATCCATTTTTATATATATAGAAGATGAAGTAACTATTGAGACTGAAGTTTTTTTTACTATCACATTACTATTTTTTTAATCAAATTACAAATTCATTGGTAAAAGTTTCATTTATAGTGCCATAATAAAATTCAAACACCGATTTAAACATACATAGTGAATATTGAATAACATTCCAATTTTCAATGTTTTTTCTTATTTTAATGAAGACAATACTAAATTATTGTATTTTTATTGTTTTATATATGGAATATTTACGTTTTTCTTTACATTATCAGAAACTTTGAAGCCTTTATGTCCACCTCCGATAAGATTAAGGAATCCAGAATTCTATGTAGTCAAGTTTAAAGATGGCGACGGTGAGTATGTGTAATAAAAATAAATAAAAAACTTTATTAATATTAAGTTTAATCTTGTAATAAAATTCTTTTCTAGATTATAATGTTCTTCAAAAGCAAGTGTTACCAGTTACTCACATTCAATCGACACTGTGTCGGGAGTTTTATGTTCGTTCCAATGTAAGTACTATTTATACTTTTGTCTTCCTTAAACTTAAGAAACGAAACTGCTTATCTTTCAATATATTCTTATGCGTGTGTCGGGTCCATCGTTGTAGTGAGAGAAGCTTCAACAGTGACTGGGACTTGTGACCCAGGTGTAGGTTTAATTTCTCTATCTAACGCGTTAAAAACTCACCTCTACTGTCCAAACTCTCTCTATCTAACCTAAGACTTTACATTAATTTTAAAGACGTATTTATTTGATTAAAATCTTTACTAGAATTGCTTGTTTTTGAATGTATAAGTATTATAATTTCTGTATTATTTTGCAGTTGTATGCCAAAAGAATGAGACCGCCGCATGTGGCTTGTGCTGTTTCTTTAGAAGATAATGTTTGCGTGTGGAACGCCGGGTCAGCATTAGTGACGCGTGACATATGGGGAAGATGGCTCTTGGTATGATAATTTACAAGTATATTCCAAAAATCCATGAATTAACTTCATTTAAATGAAGCTAATATTTTTCGTAAATAATAATAGTAGCGGAAACGTCGGGAGTATGTAGTTTTTTACAAAAATAAAGTCGCGTAGTATATATGAAAAATATTAGTTTCATTTAAATGAATGAAACTCATGAAATTTTTAGATCTAATTATGAATTACCTTGTTTTTACAATTTTTGTCTCGTATGTTCGTTTACGCTATTCTTTTAAACTGTTGATATAATTTGGAAAGAAGTTTCACTAGTAAATAGCTGGTTTAATAATGAGTAACTTAGTCAAATTTTATTTATTTTTATTACAAGAACTGAATATTTAATAGTTTAACGAGGATAAAGTCTCGTACAGATAGTGTATGTTAAAATTAAATGGACTGTAGTACTTAATAGACTATACTTAAATGGACTGCTTCTACCTGGCAATTTCCCGGCTATAGCCAGGGTCTGCCTTACATGTTGTGAATAGTTTTGGCTAATTGTTTTTATGACCGGCCGCCTGCCTGATATCAACCCTCTTTTTTGGGAATGCATTAATCAGTGATGTCTAAATATTCTTAGAAAGTACATATGTCTCGGAAAAATCACATTGGTACTTACTTGCCCGGGCCAGGATCGAACCCGCGGCCACGTCAACGAAAGCGGGCCCTCTAACCACTTGGCCACCACTAACTAATATGTATAATAAAATTAAAGGATAACTATATATAGTAATACATAAAGTTTAACATACACTATCTGCATATGACTTTATCCACGTTAAACTATTATTCAGTTTTTGTATTATCAATATCGAAACGAAATGATCACAGTTTCTTTAAGATTGATATATTGATGAGCATTATGTATATTTGCTTATTCATATATCAATGAGGTTTTAATAATGTTTTAATGTTTTTGTATTTTATTTCTGTTTATGTAAGTGCTGTTTCTCAAAGATGTTGACAAATAAAACATTTTATTTCTTTCTTTAATATGAATCAATTAGCTCGGTGTGGGTGTTCGCGGTCCGGGATGTGGCGCTCCATCCCGGTATTTAGATATGATGAGTTACTATCCCTGGATAGAAGACAGCCTTGACAAGTTCAAGAGAATCAGCATATCGAAGATATCCAAACAGAAATATGTTCTGCGAGGTAAGACTTTATTTATGTATATGACTCAAAGGAGCTAACGGTTTGTAAGGTAGAGCCTAGCTGTGGTCATACAGCTCGAACATGCTGGCTCGATCGTAAGTACCACCCTCTCACAGAAGATCGGCGTGAAGTAGTCTTTAGTGGCTGCGTTTCGTCCGATGAGTGAGAGGCCGGTTGCCTTTTCCCTATTTCCCACCCTTACCTACCATTTCCTTATTCCCACCCCTCCCTTTTCCTCAACAGACAAGGTTGAAAACCTTAAATAATTTTTCTATTTGTATTGTGAAAGTCTATATAAACGATAATATTGCCAAAATATTAAGCAATTCCAGTGCGAATGAAGCCATAGCATAATTTTTTTTATATAAAAGTGATAAGTATCATTCATTACCTATGACATAAAATCTTTATCTTCATATATTTATATTATGTATGTGAGTGCATATAATTAGTCGTAAATATTTCCGTAAGATGTGTTCAAAAGTAGTTCTATCCATTAATATACATAGGATTCCATTCCATATCATTAATTCATTCCAATATTTAAATTCTTGTACAGGAGGCACAGAGGAACCTGCATTGAACACGGCTTACCAGAGATTCGGAAACTGCGATCCCGAGGAAAAAATCAATTTGATATTCAGAGAATTCATTTACTTACGGACAGACAACAATCAGTATCAGTTTTTGACGTACAATGTAATTATATAATGTTATTTAAAAGTTGATTTCGTGACTCAAATGAGCGGTAAAAAGTTTGATTACAGAAAGTTCGCGGCAAAAATTTTGATACTACATATTAGAAATATAATATTCTTTTGACACATTTTGTACTATAACTAATCAGTAATAAGCAGTAAAATAATTGAACACTGAAATTCTGCAATTGTATAAGAAATTTGTTTGACTGTTTAATCCATATTGCTATGTTTTATAACAAAACAATTTAAACGTTTTTATCACGTGACCCCTTTGTCACGAAATAATAGTAGTTTGCCACGCCTGACATTGCGACTCACAAGTTGATGAACACTGTTTTTTATTATAACATTTTACCGTTATTTTTTAAATGTTTTAATATTTTGCATATAATTTTGTACATTGGCGTAATAATGAGAATTAAGACTTTCGCGAGTATTCATTTAAATTTAACTTATATTCTCGGATTACTACGAGTTTTTTACTGTTTTTAAAATTACATACTCCCGATGTTTCGTAATGAATAAAATACGCGTAGTACGTAATCCGAATAATATTAGTTTCATTTAAAAGAACACGCGAAAGTCTTAAATCTCATTATAGATGTTCTATTTTAGCTATCTATATATGAAAACGTTGAGTTTTCGTGTTTGACTCTCGAACTGGTGAATGCATCAGCTGTTTCTGAAATGAGGATTAAACACGTATGCCCAAGAGAATCGAGAGCACCGCCATGTTACCGATATAAAGGTTTGATAACTACATATAAGACTTCGACCGCGTTAATTTCGAAAGTAGTAATATATGTTCGGGTGAATTCTATTCCGCTCTATAGGCTGTAAATAACCATATATTGGAATTTATTTAGTATTGTTTTTCTTTCTCTATCGAACAGAATGAAATATCTTAATCCGTCTCCTGGCTCTAAACTATTTAACCACTAATTTTCAACCATATCCCTAAAGTCATTCTTGAGTTATACATAATGTAACTAACACAATGACTTAAATAGAAAAAAATAACACTCAATTATCTTATACAGGTATGTACATATATAAGATATTTGACTCAGCATAATGTCAGAGTAAGTAAGCATAGTTCAAGTGTATTTTCTTTCATAAATCTTTGTACATGTATGACAGGTTTTGAACTTAAATATTGCAGTACGATATTTATAACGTTTTGTACGAATATGTTGTTAGTGAACTGTGGTAAAGTTTAGATCAAGTATAGAGTTTAAGTATATGATATTAGATATGTGTTACTATCTATAGTGCAACGAAACCGATGTTTTATATAGAAAAATTAGATGAAAATCTAACTCTTTCAATATTAAGGTATGATCCAAATATTTAATAAATATAAATTATATTTTGCACCCTCTAAACTAACATTTATATTAATGACAATGACAGTTAATGTCACCAACAATTAATGACAGTGACAGCAATGTCATGACATTAATTGAGATTTAATGCATCGACTTATACTAATGGACATGCCTTAGAGATGAGAATTGTGGCACTCCGAAAGAAAGAGAGGAAACGAAGTTACGGTCTATCTTTATCTCTCTCAAAATAGTACCGTACTTATGAGGAAAGAGATAGCGCTAGTCAAAAGCATAGGCCATCTCCCTCATTCTTTTCAAACCAAAAATTACTGCAGATTATATATTCTAAGAGCTAGCAACGTTTTTGAACAAGCATTTCAGGTAGGCTAGTTTTTAGATATGCTGTCTCTCACACTCCCCCGGACGTCATACGGGCTATCTGGCTGCCGGTAGTGGTTGCGTTCATCAGTGCGCATCGTACTTGTGGAGGTAAAAAATTAATATATCAAATCATTTTAAGAAGGTTTTTATTATTATTATTATTATTATTGAACTATTCACAACATAAATTTATTATTGCCAGGTATTTTTATTGTTGTTTAAACGGTGCCAAGCGGCAATTTTGAATTAAAAATTTATTTTTTTCAAACTATTTTAGTATAGCTGAAATTTTAATAGCATGATATTTAACTATCTAAAAGCTCAGAATTAATTTGCCAGGAAAAAAATCGGTTGTTAAACTTTTGCCAGATCGAAATAAAGTGTAAAGAGATGTAGTATCATTTAGCTTGGTCTAGAAAATTAATCGTCTAATAAATGATGGAAGAAGGATTAAAAACTATTGAATTTATTTATAGATGAATACGGTATAAAAATAAGACTTTATTGTTGTACAAAATTGAGATAATGATCAATGTTAAGTTTGAAAAAGCGCTCTGGCTACCGAAAGACTAACCGCTTCACGTATGATATCTAAAACCCTATCGTATAATTTTGAAAAAAAGTTCCGTAATTTTAATCCATCAAGTCTACCACCGAGTAAAGCTGAGTTATATCAACACTTACTACGAGTTCGTTATGTCACAACGTTTTTGAGAAATGCTTATTTAAAATACCCAACATCTCTATCACCTCAAGCTTCTGGTTGGACCATTAATGATGATAAATATGATTTTATCTGGTTTGTTGGGGAGCAATTACCAACATTAGTTGCTGATATTATTATTAAAGGTAAAAATTTGAACTAAAATACAAAAAAAAATATTTCTCGAAAGATATTAAATTTTTGATTCTATTACAGATAACAGCTTATTACAAAATGATAATAATTTTAAGGACGATGATAACAATGGAAATGACAGCAGTGATGAAGATGATGATCTTTTTCAAACTTAATATTGATCATTATCTCAATTTTGTGCAACAATAAAGTATTATTTTTATACCGTATTCATCTATAAATAAATTCAATAGTTTTTAATCCTTCTTCCATCATTTATTAGACGATTAATTTTCTAGACCAAGCTAAATGATACTACATCTCTTTACACTTTATTTCGATCTGGCAAAAGTTTAACAACCGATTTTTTTCCTGGCAAAATTAATTCTGAGCTTTTAGATAGTTAAATATCATGCTATTAAAATTTCAGCTATACTAAAATAGTTTGAAAAAAATAAATTTTTAATTCAAAATTGCCGCTTGGCACCGTTTAAACAACAATAAAAATACCTGGCAATAATAAATTTATGTTGTGAATAGTTCAATAATAATAATAATAATAATAAAAAACCTTCTTAAAATGATTTGATATATTAATTTTTTACCTCCACAAGTACGATGCGCACTGATGAACGCAACCACTACCGGCAGCCAGATAGCCCGTATGACGTCCGGGGGAGTGTGAGAGATAGCATATCTAAAAACTAGCCTACCTGAAATGCTTGTTTTTTTGACGTTGCTAGCTCTCGTACCAATACGAATACGACGTGTCCATTAGTATAAGTTGATTATTTAATGTCAAATTACAGGATCCGTGTTTGAAATATCGTTATACATAATGTTCTCGGACACAGCACGTTTTGAAATGTACGCGTGGGGATGGAAGAAGAATATGACTCTTATAGATATTCACGAATGGAAATTGGAAGAGGGTACATATTACGAAGATTTCAATTTACAACTTATCGAATATAGAGGTCCGACGCACGAGACTGAGTTTGGATTCGAGCCAATAAACGTAGCTATGTGGGTCCCGGAATACGATATATGGTCTAGCAGCGAAGCTCCCGATCCCAATATGACCACAACAAAGCTCGTTAAGAGAGGAAGTAAGAATATATATTTTATACGAAATTTACTAGTCGAATTAAACATATGATTTATATAGCTTTTTTAATTAGTTATATAGAAATTGAAAAATATTAGTTAGAGACGAAACCTCTCATCATTCAATGTATTCATATGCGTGTGTCGGGTCCATCGTTGTAGTGAGAGGAGCTTCAACAGTGACTGGGACTAGTGACCCAGGTGTAGGTTTAAGGGACCTATCTAACGCGTTATACGCTCACCTCCACTGTCCAAGCTCCTCTCCCTAATAATTTAAGTAGAAACACCGAAACCATGTAAGCTATAAGAATTAATTGCTATCAAGAAGGTAGTATTACTAGTATAGTAGAAATATTTCAAAATTAAGTTTAATTATTCTTTAAACGCTATCTTCTCGTCGTTTACCTAAAACAATTCCTTAATATTGTCAAACAAAGTAATTAAATTCTATGATCGAATTCGTGAGAAAAATTTCACAACATGCAAGCAATTCCGATGATAAAATTTTCGTGAAATTTGCAGATAACGAATTGCCCAAAAAACAGAAGGAGATTAAAGGCAAAGAAGTTATGGAGATCCCTACAGACGCCTTGGAACCAGATATAAAATTAATAGCTAAAATGACAGGCATACCAAATCCTATACCACGATATCAAACACCTACTAAACCTAGGACTAGCACATTTAAAGTAGGATAATTCAATTCATTACAATAAACTTAATTTATATACCGCCTTTTTTATTTTTTATGTTATCTGTACCAATTTATGTACTTTTATAATCTGTATACAATGACAATGCTACCAATATGACAAAATATAAACGTAATTTACATGTGTGAATAAGTTAATGTTAATCATAAAAATAATGACTGATTAAATGATTAATTTTATTAATAGAAATAAAATAAAATTCTTGTATAAATTACTCTCAATAGTTTATTTGTAAGAGATAAATAAAATTATAAATATACCTAGTTTACAATAAAATACAAATATAAGTATATAAATGATTCAAATATACATTCCCTGGCTGGAATTCTTAATTAAAATTAAAAAAAACTTAAGTACGTCAATTTTGACATTGACATAACAACCGTCATTGTGGATTTCGTTCATAAATCTTTATATATCTGTGATAATTTATGACATTAAATAAATCGAGAATTTAAAGTATCTTCTTGGAATTACAGATCAATACAAATTTATTAATATAATGAAAATTACATTATTGAAGAAAATTCATTTTTAATTTTTATTGCTATGTGCTCATAAAAAACATATATACATCATAAAAATCTAATAATACTTATTTATAGCTCTTACTGTAGAAATAAAATAGAATAAAAAAAGCTTGAAGAATTGAGAAAAATAAATATAAATGAGGTGTTATATTTTTATAAAATTGTGATTTTAATATTCGTTTTGTATGATTTAGAATTATTGAATTCTAAAATACAAGTATATTATATAAAACGTCATATAGAAGTATGTGTATGTACATATATACATTTGTATGCGCTTAATATATATACATATTTATGATTCTAACAAAATCATTAAAAATATAGTCGTCTTACAAACCCAAGACATTTAAATAAATAATGAAACCTTAACTAGAACTAATTAATTATTATTTTAAACCAAACCACCTTAAAAAAGTTACTTACAATTTACAAAGACAATAGTCATGTGGACAAAATACTTTCCCGCGTAAAAGTGAAAAAATGTCACTTCTAGTACATTTGGGAATATAAAGTTTAGATCAACTTAAATGTGTGTTCCATATATATAAATATGGAACACACATGTGATTTTTCCGAGTCATATGTACTCTAGAGTATTTAGACATTTAGAGTGAGAAGAGGCAGCTCAGCAGTGGGCTCTGATAGGCTGATAATATAAATATATATAACATAGAGATGTGTTTGTATATTTATATATATCCTTTATCAACACAATGCACTACATTATTAGCTTCTCTCAATCTACCCTCCTTCGTTTTAATTGGAGTTAGAGTCCAGAAATCGTCGATATCACGTTTCTGGTCGCCCTGAAATAACATGTTACATTTAATAAAGAAATTAATATACAGGGTGACTGGTGAATTACTATCGATATTTGAGGACGTGATATTTGACGATCATATATGACAAAATAAAAATTAATATAACATAAATATTAATAAACTTCTAAGTAAAGTTAACCAAAAGTTATGTAATTAATTACGCATCGTATGAACACCCTACAGATTAGGTATACATACACACACACACACGCGTGCTGATACAACACTACGCCGCCGCACGCGTTCACGCCTGGAACACTTGGAACGTGTCAACACTTTATTTATTTATACGGAAATTTGGTCAAAAATTAAGTACCTATTTTTTGTTACATAATTCGAATGAGAATCATGTACCGAGTATTCTCCTTAAATATTGATAGTAATTCACCAGTCACCCTGTATACAATTAAGTAAATATTTTTTTAAATACAATGGATATACTTAAAGTTTTATACGTTTTTTTTACTCTATTAAGGTTCGAATTTTATAATAAGAATAAGTAGTATAAGGAAATTCAATTCGAAAGAGATGTAAAGAAGATATGTATATTAAATATAAATAAGGTTTTATTATGAATTTACTTAATTACTCCGAAATTAATATTACATTAGAAAATGATATATCGATTTTGGAACACTATCTGATGAATGTTTACGAAAATACTTTTATCGCATAGTATCGAATAAACCAAACTAAGATTAGATAATCGTATGTATATATTTTTGAATCTATACAACCTCTTTGGTTTTGATATTGGCATAATATTCCACGATTAGAGTGTGAGTGAAGCCATAAATAAAAAAAAAGGTTTTTAATGTCAATTGTAATTTTGACGTATGTTTTTTATATGCGATGTATGAAAAATGTTAGGTATATTAGTAATTATTTTAAAGATATATGTATATTTCCTGTTCTTGGGAACAAACAGTGTGAAAATGGTTTAATAATACGCCAATACAAGGTGTCGTGACTGTAATTAGTTTTTAAATATATGCCTTATAACGTGCATAGAGGTTTCATATTATCGTTTAAAATATAACTTGGTTTATAGAAAATTTATCCCTACTAATATTATAAATGCGAAAGTAGCTCTGTCTGTCTGTTTGTCTGTTACGCTTTCACGCTTAAACCACTGAAATGATTTTAATGAAATTTGGTACAGACATAGAGTTGACCTTGAGAAAGAACATAGGATAGTTTTTATTCCAGACTTCTGAAAGGTTCTCTTGGTTACGCGATATAACCGAACTCCACGCGGGCGAAGCTGCGTGCAGAAAGCTAGTTTATATATATTTATGATTGATATAGATGTTTTATATTGTCTTCTTAGATAATAAACTTATCTGAAAGTCCAATTATATCCTTTTTTTGTACCCTTATTTTGCAATATAACATAAATATAGGGTAAATATTTTGAATTGAAATCTTTTTCGATTAAAATTTAATAAAAATATATCTGGTATATACCGCTGATTTTATAAAATTTTTGTGTTTTAATTTAGGAAAAACATTCAATTGGGAGCGAAAAAATTTTCAAAATGAGATATTTCACAATTAAATAAATCCTATGAAAATTAAATCTCGTATATTTAGCCTATATTACTTCTACTAAAACCAAAACTACCATTTTTTGGTTGTAAATTCGTTACAAAATAAAAGTAAAATTTATAAATGGCAGATTTAGGGGAGCTTACATATATAAACTATTTGAAAACTTTGATAGATCTAAAAGATTTATCATACAAACTGCTCGGCTTGATTCTTTTTGTTAAAACTTTTTGTAAAGAGTTCAGAGTGATTAACATTAATTAACTTTATTGTGTAATGATCATTAATAAGAAAAGACTAAATGTTCAAAACCTCTTTAACTCTGAACGAAATGTAGGTAGTCCTTAAAAAAAGTCTATTTATATAGATAATTATTTAAAATTGTGTTAATACATATATGTATTTGCTACTTAATTTGATTTGAATAAATAACTTACCGCCATTTCCATATTGATAGCATCGTCTGGTGACAGAATTATCATCGGCGTAGATTCAAAACTGAAGAGGAGACCGAAATAAGAATATTTCTTTAGTTCCATCATATAAGTATCATATGAATATATTTTTTTTGGATCGCTTCCCAATTCCGTAATCCTTTCTGACAGTACTTCGTAATAATAATCTATAAGTTTATCGTAATATTCCGTACGTAATTTCTGTTCCGTGCAGGCGGAAAATACGAAACATACGTCCAGAATCGGGCTGGCGCATCGGCAGAGTTGGAAATCTATTATTTTGGTCGCAATTGGAACATTATTGTTATATTTGAATAGAAAGTTATTCGTCCAAGAATCGCCGTGGGATATAACACAGTTTTTTTTATCCCTGGTCGCTCTAACCATATCTTTGTACCTTTCTTCTGGTACAGCGAATTTTTTAATTTTCTCAACGTATATCGTATTTGGGTACTCCTTTTCTACAGCGTCAATCGCAATACCGCAGATTCGTTTAAAGAATTTTCTATACCAATTCCATAATCTAGGATCGTAGTAGGTTTCGAAAACAAAATCAGATAGTCTATCGAAATCATCCGGCCTTTGATCTCTCATTGCAAACGATAATGAATGGTATTTCGCTAATGTTTTAAGAATCATTTTGCAATGTTCGTAATCTATGCCATCTTGTCTAACCGCGGATGTAAAATTTTCTAAACTAACGTCTTCTAGGCATATGACGTCATTAATGCCGTCGCTATACGCAAAGAATAGCTTAGTGTGGTGGTCAAATGGTTCAGAAATATTTTTGCTGGCTTCAAATTCAAGTAAGCCTGGTAGCACATGTTGGTAGAAATTTATCTCATTTTGAAAAAACTCATCGCTTCTATACGTAAGTCGTCTGCAGAGGTTTTTGGGAATAGATTTTAATATGACCTGAACGTGCTTTGTAATACCATTAGCGTCTCCATATATTTTAATACGTATCACTTCACTGAGATATGAATCGCCTTTACCAGTTGCTCCAACGTACTGGAAGTTGTATAAAAAATATATGTAATATAAATAATGAATGAACCTAATAAGGTCTAAGATTTTCGCGAGTTTTTTTCATTTAAATGAAACTAATATTTTTCGGACTATAAACTACATACTCCCGACGTTTCGGCTACTTTACAGCAACCGTTATCACGAAGACGAGATGTGAGTGTCTGTAGTTTTTTACACATATAAAGTTGTCTAATATATATCCGAAAAATATTAGTTTCATTTAAATGAATAAATGTATCTATTGATTGAATATAAGTAATATATTTTTTTAACGTCATTAAATATAATTGGCGTATATTATCAAGGTCAGATAGAAAAGAGCCTAGGTGACAATTACAGGTAAAATAATTATAAATCGAATGTTCTTGAGTGTTCCTATCGATTTCTTGCTGTAAAATGAAATGTTCCAATAATATTATAATTATGAAAACTGCCAAGAAATATAAATATATTTATATTGACGTATATACTTTAGTTACAGACATTTTTCTGCCATTATTCAAATGATAGGTCATTTTTTTAGGTATGTTTTTTTTTCTAGTAATATTTATTCTCATGAAAATAAGTCAGGAATATAAATTCATTTTTAAAGAATAGTAAATTAAATTTTATCAATATTTTCTTCCACTTAAAGTTCTTTACTTTATATATATAACTATTAGAATGAATGCAAACATAGAGATATTAAATTAAAAAAATCATAAAAATAATATAATATATCTATTGAGTTATATTTATATATTCAATACTTATTATAAATTATGTAATAATTTTTCCTTCATATTAAAAGTAATGGATAAATTTATAAACAGCAGAGAAAGAAATTTAAACTAAAATTTAAGTATTTTTTAATAGTAATCATTTATAAAAAAAAATATTTGTTAGATTGTTAAAAGAAGATTCATTTTTAATATTGACATAGCATTTAAAACTATAAATGCTTGACCCATATGCGAATAGGTCACCAAATATATTTTACCGCTGCTATTTACTTAAAAATTATCAATATATGTATGATATATAAAATAATAATTCCATTAAACATAATTTGTTAAGTAAAAACTGTATATGACACAAAATTTATACTTTCTATTCTATCTGACTAATATTGTAGCAACAATATAATCTACAAAAGAGGTTGTTGACACTATTAGGCATAATGTCATTCACCTTTGCCTTACCTCCCAATGTGTAAATTTCATCGGTTCTTTAAATCTCTCCGACAATGCTTTGCTAATTCTCTCATCGGTTAAAACTTCTGATATATGAAGTAGAGTTTTAAAATTCTCCTCAACCATTATGGTGTACTGTGGATATTAAATGTTATTAAATAAACAACAATAATAATAATATTTTAATAAATATTACAGATTAAAATATTTGAACTGGTAATAAAATAGTAAAAATAATCTGTTCCTTTTTTAAATTACATATATATTTATTAATACAAAAAAATAATTTCATGATAATGTTTCCCATAAAATAAAAATCAGTATTAAGCTAGTAAATTTATGATATTTGTGATAAATATCAGATCAATTTAGATTAAAAATAGAATTATCATAAAAATTATTAGAAATATATATATTTTTTTACATACTATAAATAAGTTTTATAACAAATATTCCTACATATTTCTAATACATATTACGTACCTTTTAAATAAATAAAACGATATTTATCAACACTTAAAATTATAAATTGTAAAATAAAAATTTAATACAGGTATTGCAACTAACTTAACTAATTACACACCTTTACTCGTCAAAGAGTCAAGTGATACTGAACTCTGAAGCCACTTACACTAATGAAAAGTGAATAAAACTGAATTCATTTGTTGTTTCACAGATTTCATGTATCGTAACTTTACTGTTTAGTTTTTATTTGAATTTTCCTTTATTTATAATGATTCCAAATAATATAGCAACCGATCCAATTGCTTAACTACGCATAATAATGCTTATCATTTTGGTTGTATAATAATTGAATGTCAATTTGACATATTATTATATTTGTAGAACAATTTTTTGGAAGACTATTACATAGTTTTAGGAGATAATTAAAGTTCTGTGATAGTAAAAGCCATTGTTAATTATTATTTTGGGTATATTATTGTTTTATAAGTAAAATAGTCCGAAAATGTTTGAAAACACGTCAAATCCTACAACACAACATATCCGGTTTCCGGTTTTTTACACTAATTTACAAATGTAAATTTTTTACAATAATTTACAATTATTAAATATTTAAATAAGAAATACTTAATATTATATATTCAGCATATAGAGGATTCAATTAAAAAGAAATATTAGACTATGTTCACTCACGATACTATAATACCTAATAAAAACAAGATTACAAACTCCAGTATTAGATTAAAATATAATATCTCAAATTGTTTTTAGCCAATTAATTAAAAAAAGTATGTAAATTGTGTTTTTACTGGTTTATCACTTATGTTCCTATTTTTTAACAGGGTTGCCAAAAGCATCAAAATAGAACATAGATAAAAAAACTAAAATCGAAAAGAAGAGCATATTGAAAATGATAATTTCATAGAAACTCATAAGACATGTGAATATAGTACTTTCACTATTATAATTAAATTATTTTTGTTAAAATATTTATATTTTTGGGCAAACTTATGTATTTGAAAAACTCTACATTGACCTTTCGTCAAATAAAACGTAGTTAAAATAATATTCTAATTCAACTTTTTACTTTGTAAAAATTCTATCAGAGTATTATTTTAAGATTATTAGATATATACCTCGCGTTCATAATACAATATTCACTGTTGTAACAAAGAATTCTACATTTTGGATTAGGTATCATTCAAGGACAAAAACAAACGCGACCTTGCCGTTTTGGAGTTTGAACTTGTTTGGTAAGAGGGGCTTACACGAAATTCAGCAGTTTGACAATAGATGGCGCTTTCCATAATAGAAATGTAATAAATTTGATTCGGAAATAACAAACTAATTTTAATATTTTGTGTTTAAAGAACAATATAAATAAAAAAGCTTTTGTAAAAAAAAATGTATTAAAAATTTCTAGAATTAATCTAATTTTTTTATTTCTTAATTAGATCTGTTATAAAAAAGTATGAAATATAGATAGGTAGAACTAAAAATAAATAAAACTATATCTATTATTTGGACAATAGATGTTTGAGACAAATGAACTATCTGCTTTAGGGAATTCGTATCTGAGGCTTAAACTACAAAGAACTGACAACTCCTTACGGCTTCCGTTTCAACAATCAGTCTTGTATAAAGATGCCACATTTATTTTGCCATCAAAAAGTAAACACAGTTAACGATCAACTCTGCTGCTTTGTAATAAGGTTTGTAATGGCATGTTCTTAAATGTTGTACTGAAACATATATTATAAGTCGTATTGCCTAAAGGCGGGAATCCAAGGATTACGCGTCGTTTCTCGCCAAAACAAAGGTTTCCCGGCCATCTTACCGGAACTTCGAAATCTTGGAGGACTCTTTTAAGTTCTCAACATAAAGAGCCTTTTGAAGTAAATGTTTACCAAAAATAGGCATTGTAAATACCACTTTGACGTTTATAGCAGTTTGTTGAAGATTAAAGAACTTTGACGTATTGATCTCGAAATGATTTATTACCGATGTATTTATGAAATATTATGATTTAGGTATTCTGTATTTTACTTCGTTTCATATTAGACTTTTCTGAACGCAAACGTAAGTCTTCATTTTTTACAAGCACCATTACCTGTGAAATCTTTTTTTTTAAAACGATTCCATACAAACGTAATATGTATCTTATATAAAATTAATAGAGGATTCGGTAGCGTGACTAACTGGAGCGAGTCTGAGAAAAGCATTTGATAAAGAAGTGACTTATGTAGAAGGTCGAAATGAAAGGGAAATGTGGGTTGCGTGAAACACGACATGTTTTAAAAGGGTACATTGGAGTGGTGAGAATTCAATGATCGTTAATGAATCGTGAAATCTAGACTCGCCATTGGCACTATGTTGAATACTTTTGACTCTTGACGTAACTTCAGTACATACGTCATTTTGACATTTACCTATAGTATTGACTTAAGTTTTCAGTTTTGAAATATTCATTCTTATATTGTGTATGATCTTTAGAATAATCTTTTAATTTCGTTATATAAAAATATTAGTTAGTAGAGAATAAATTGTTAATTGAAATAAATGTTGTGAACGTTATTCATATTAATAAAATAAAATGAAGACGTGAAAAAGGTTTCATAGTTTTGAGTATTTAAAAAGAGATAATAAAAAATATATGCGTAATTATAAATTAATATATAGATTGTGTTAATTTAGTAATTAATATTGGGTAAAAAAAATATAATTTATGATATAAATGGCGTTTAGAACATCAGAATATATTTGGTTCGTCTAACAAGGAACTTGTTTGAGGCACTAATTGCAAAAGTAATTGAATCAGTTCCCAGTGCACCTTTGCAATCTAGATATAGGCAATTGCGAAACACCGGTGCATTGTGTTAGTTCGACAAAGTTTTATAGAGCTTTTGCAATTTCAGTACAGCTTTTGCAATTATTTTCATTAATACTACATGTGCGAAATTGAGTTTTTCATTACGCTGGAAATATTGCAAAAGAAAGGCGTCTATTGATTGAATGCTATTAGGGTAAGTGCAGCGTAGTTTTCTAAAAAGTTTTACATGTTTTTATTGACATTTTTATTGATAATAAATATATATAGGAATAAATAGAATTAGTAGTTGTAGGTATAATGTTTGGTTCTTTTATTTTGAAAACAAATGCCTCGTATTATTTTCTGTATTCAACCTTATTTCGATCTGTCTAGTCAGATTTCATAGTCCTATTTTTAACTTCTACATTATTTATTTAAATAGGTCTTCTGAGTTTCTTTCTTCGACCACTCATCATTCAAAATTAGAGTTAAGTGGTAGTTTTATATTTTTATTGTTAACTTGTAGGCTTTTATGCCTTTATACTAACCATGCAAAGCTTCTTATACATCGCTACATTTAACCTTATCACAATTTTGTATATACACACTTCATATGATTTTTTTCAGTTTGTCATTCATAATATATATTGATACTATCATATGCATAGTTTCCAGTATTTATGTTTATGGAAAAAAACTGGAAACGCAGCGTTGGTAGTGTCACGATGCAAACTGATTGTAGGTGTACTTATTTTTTTATAATGGTAACACTTAGCGTATTAAAACAAGGTAAACCTAACGATATATTAATTAAAATTAATACAAATAATTTATAATTTAGAATTACCAATAAAATTAACATTGAAAAAAAATGAGATACTCAAAAAACATTTTGCGAACAGAGTAAAGCTTGCGATAACTTAATGCGATCAAATTTAATTGTTACTATTTCAATTAATATTCTTATTCGAACAAATATGATACACACATCATACGAATATAGACCTTATTTATATAAACATAGAGATGTTTATAACAATGTAACATTATCTCGCCCCATTTCCTCAGCACGTTGACACCTTTGCAGTCATATATAATTCATTTATTCACTTACGAGCTGAGTCGACATCGCAAAACCCCGCCGGTATATGTCTATAATGCTACTAAATTGTAAATGACCATTCCGACTTTGAGTGAACTTTGAATTTGGGATGTTTAAATTATTCATCTTAAATTGGCTGTGTGCCATGAGCGTGGTTATGTGAATTATTTAGTTTTCAGACGATAAAGGTGTTTCGTGATGTTTAATTTTATGTTGATTTGATTTCTTTAAGATTTATATATATAATAAACATGGCTATGGTTTATAAAATACATGTCCATATTTACAGATAAAAAAAGACAGAAATGTTATCCTTTTTGACGTTGACATTGACGTTTGTATTAAATAACCTGAAATTATATATGAGTAAATAAAAATAAATATATAAAAAACAACCTTGTTATAAGTCGCATAAGAAATTTCATTTCAAAAACTGGGACTTCAATAGATAGTTAAAAAATATTCGTATAACGTAAATAGAATTAACATTATGGTGTCTTGTATGTTTTAAGTATTGTATTTTGAGCGATGTTTAACACGTTAACGATTTAAAAAGTTTCTTTATTTAATTTTCAGTTTTATTTGTTCCGTGGATAACCTTTAGGTACCTCTAATAATGGGCGTATTATTTTTCGCTCTATAGATGGCAAATAAGCAACCAATTTAAAAAAATATGGGACTTTATTTGATGATATCTTAATAAGTTTTTTTTGTTGACCAAAAGGGACAAATGCAGTTAAACAATCGCTTCGTACTCAGATATTAGTATTTTATGCTAAAGTTTTAAGGTGGATAAGTATCACTAGCTTCTAATCATGGTTGCCACTAATCTAACAAAAAAAGGAGTCAAACTGTTACGATATTGAGACATTGTAGTCACTTAATGATATTTAAAACTTTCGCGAGTATTCATTTAAACAAAACTAATATTTTTGGATGTACTACCGTATTTTTTATTACTTTATATAAACACTCCCGTCGTTAGTTTGCAGCAACCGTGATCACGGACAGACGAGATGAAAATGCTTGTCGTCATTTATTAACACATGTACGTTTAACTCTCCATAAATTGTAGGAAATTGTAGTAACAATGGAACTCCTATAATAATTTTCATATTAATGTAATAAAATGAATATTGTATTAAATTTACAAGTCAAAAATACTTTTTAGAAAATGTATAGAAGTTTTACTGGTATAACTGAAACTAATATTTTCGGATTTACTATGCGATTTTTATTTTTGATTATAAACTACATACTCCCGAGTCCCGACGTTTCATTTACTTTGCAGCAACCGTGATCACGGACAGAGGAGATATCTCGTCTCCTCTAAAATATTATTTTCAGTTAAATAAATACTCGCGAAAATCTTAGATCTCATTAAGTTTCACTGGTATGCTTTTGTAGGCAACAAATAGTTATGTAAGTATAAATAGTTAAATAGGTAGTTTATTAACAGCTCATTAATTTTCTGGCTTGCATGGGCAATGCTTTATTTCACAGGAGATTATGAAGTAACTTTTATTGGTCCATGTAAAAAGTTAAACGATAATAATTTAATTTCTTTGTTATTTTTAAAAGACCGAATCGCAGGAGACTTTTGAAGATATTTACCATGTACTGAGAAGTTAACAAAGTTTTCTTTAGTTCAGTTTTTGGCAGTACTCAACATATATTCAGCAAGTATGTTTATTTACCTGAATATATCTTTCATAAAGATTTAAACAACTGAATGTAAATGAAAATCTCTTTACAATTTTCCTTCTGATATACAATGTCTTTGAACAAAATGAAAGCATTTCATAAAACATTATATAAAATAAGCACTACTAATTATTATAATGTATTCTTAATCAACTATTTCGTATATAACACTTTCATATAATTAATTTAAGTCAGTGGTGGTTCAGTGGTTAAAGGGCCCGCCTCTCGGCCTCTCGTCCCCGAGGGCGCGGGTTCGATCCTGACCCGGGCAAGTACCAATGTGATTTTACTTAATCATATGTACTTCCTAAGAGTATATAGACATCACTGATTAATGTTGATTCCCAAAAGAGGGTTGATGTCAGGCAGGCGGGCCGGTCGTAAAAACAAATAGCCAAAAACTATTCATAGCAGCATGTAAGGCAGACCCTGGCTATAGCTGGGAAATTGCCAGGTAGAAGAAGATACTTTCGTATAATTAAATTAAACGAATAAAAAGTATATGTTTGTTTACGTGAAACATTTCTCCAATTACGTGATAAAAGGAAAATACTGCAAGGAGTTGAAGTAACCGGTTAAAGAAAAAAAAAACTGTTCGTGAAAATGTTCTTTAAAGCCTTTTAAAAGTTGAAAGCTGTTCTGGCTGCGAAATAAAAGTACATCGCATCTTAAAACACTGCAGCCACTTAACAGGTGAAAGAAATTTCTCGAGATGCAGACTGTTTAAGAATATTCACAAAAAATTTCGTTTTTGTAATTATATCTCTTTTTATATGCTAATAAAGTTAATTTTTATTTGTATACTTCTTGTTTCTTTTTAATCCCAAAAACAAATCTTCGTTTTATTTTTGGTTATATTAACGTATTATTTATAATAGCTTATCATCCGTCGGTCGTCTGTCGTTTTTCGACGTGGAATATTCATTGAAAATATCTATTTTCTGCTTCAAGAATATAGAATCAGATGTATTGATGATAATTTTATTTAAAAAACAGTATTTATACATTTAGCCATGACATGAAAGTGACAGAAGATATTTTGTTAGACTAATTAGCAATAACTTCATATACATAGAAGAACTTTATAACATACTTGTCAGATTCACGAATTTTTTCAGATTAAATTTAGCGGGAACAAAGACTATATATACATTACATATTCAGATATATATTGAAGTTAAGGAAAAATATATTTTAAAACTTATTTATTATTGTTGTAGAAATATATAGTATTGCTTAATCATTCATATCTCGTCTGTCTGTGATCACGGTTGCTGCTAAGTAACAGGAACGTCGGATATATGTAGTTTTTACAAATTATAAAATAAGACGCAGTAATCCGAAAAATATCAGTTTTAACGAAATAGTATTTTTAAAAATTTGAATATTCCTTAATAACTCATTCAAGCTGGTATATGCTGAAAGGAGGTTCTTTTATATTTTTTCTTTGACCTGCATTTAACGGAAGTTTCGTTGAATTATTTAATATTATGGATTTTTCAGTAGAACTGTAATGACAAACATTCAGTTGTAATTGTTGAAATCTGAATAAAAATATTAATTGTTTATTTGCCTTTTCCCTCGTGTTTAAGGACCATTGGCTAATGTTTGTTAGTGCATTTTGTGGTTTATGTTATATTTTTAATTACTCAGAGCTCATTATTAGAATTTAGTGCGTGAAACACTGTTTAAAAGATATTTGTATAAGTTAGAAATAAGAAATCTCTAACAAGTATTGAATTTGAAGAACCAGAGAAATAAATATTTGATAAAAATAATAATTAGAGGTTTTATTCGTAAATTTTTATTCCTGAATTTACAAGTTTATAATTATGAGTAAAATGTCACAACAAAATGCGATTAAAAGTATACAATATAACTTTTGAAGCAGTCTTATCATTAACAGCAATGAAATTAATGATTTCTTCTTATTATTCATTAGCTTTAACTCTGTCCAAGCATTGGTCTTTTATTAGTCCAAGGATACTTCTGTTTAAGTTTTTTTCAAGCTTTCCCCGAGGTATTATTGACTTTAACTACCTCAACTAACGGTTTCCTTTGGTTGACCCTAGCAATGACCTTCTTCATATCAATCAACTTAACTTCTCTGCCGTACGCCGCGACATGGTAAGTCACAGATTCCCTGAACCATATCTCAACTGAGAAGTCAATTTGTAGGAATTGCAATGAATAGCAGATCGGTTCCAATGCTTTACACCATCGATTAAGATGAATGTACGGCAGGTCTCTAATCACGTCTCGTTGATAGAAATGAAACACACGGAATATGACGCAAGAGTATTCCATATTCGCGAATACTGTGAACTGAAAATATTTGAGAAGTGAATGTTAATATTATATAAAAAGAATCAAATATAAGTTAAGCTATTCCCAAAGAGGGTTGATGTCAGGCAGGCGGCCGGTCGTAAAAACAATTAGACAAAACTATTAACAACAAGTAAGGCAGACCCTGTAAGCCAGGTAGAAGAAGAATCAAATATAAGCTTAGATTGTAAGTTGAAAATAAAAAGATAACAGAGCAGTATGCATACTTATTATTGCCTAAAAATTTTACTTTGATATACATACATACATATATTGAGAATAAATCTTCTATTTCTCTCCGTTACTTTTAGAGCTTCAAATGTATCGAAAGATCCACTTCTTATTTTTAGTTTACAACATGTTGAAAGAGTAAGTAAGTGTAAGTTTTATAGTTTTAATGTAATGAACACAATGGTTCCACCTCTTCTTCTACCTGTCAATTTCCCAGCTGTAGCCAGGGTCTGTCTTATATGTTGTGAATAGTTTTGGCTAATTGTTTTTACGACCGTCCGCCTGCCTGACATCAACACTCTTTGAGAATGCATTAATCAGTGGTATCTAAATACTCTCAGAAAGTACATATGACTAGGAAAAATCATATTGGTACTTGCCAGGATCGAACCTAGCACTAGGTAACTACTGACAATGGTTCCAATAAATATATTATACAGGGTGACTGGTGAATTACTATCGATACTTGAGGACGTGATATTTGACTATCATATATGACAAAATAAAAATTAATATAACATAAATATTAATAAACTTCTAAGTAAAGTTAACCAAAAGTTATGTAATTAATTACGCATCGTGTGAACACCCTACAGATTAGATATACACACACACACACACACACACACGCGTGCGGCGGCGTGGTGTTGTATCAGCACGCCGTTGCACGCGTCCACACTTGGAACACTTGGAACGTGTCCACGCTTTATTTATTTATACGGAAATTTGGTCAAAAATTAAGTACCTATTTTTTTTACATAATTCGAATGAGAATCATGTACCGAGTATGCTCCTTAAATATTGATAGTAATTCACCAGTCACCCTGTATATTTTACATTACTTACATTGTAACTGGCACGTTGAAATTTGTTTGTTGGATATTGTTGGACACTGGTGCGGTCTGTGAAAAGTTCCTGTTTGGTTTCTTCAGGATCACAGGGTCCGAATCTTTGAACGTTCGAGAGAGCTAAAATATCAATGAATTAACACATACTATTATAAGTTTTAATATAATTGATTAAGATTGAATTTTCATTAGCAAACAAAGGAAAAGTTTTTAAGTTCTATCTTATTCTAATTAATCTTGTTTATATCTTTTGTCAGCTTATTTTGGATTTTAAACTGATTTAGAATTACTTCAATTTTAGTTTATTTTTTCCTTATTGTATATTTTCCATAGTATTTTCGATATTTGAATATGACTTCGGTGTGAAAAACAAAGAAAATATTCGAACATAACTAAACTAATGTTTTATTATGAAATTTTTGTTATATATCAAAATATTTATGGTACTGAGTTGATTTTAATCATTTACAATTCGTCACAATCATTAAATCTTTTCAATAGTTATATGCAAAACATTTCCTTAAACAATTTTACTCAAAATATTATAAAACAAATTAAAAATATATTTCGTTTTTGTTGGTAACAACTAGCTAAAAGGTTCAAAAATAAAAAAACAAATTTTATATCACGATTCTTCACGTTATGATAGGATAGTATGTTTGTATAGGATAGATATAATTATCCTTACTTCTTCTCAATATGATCTCGTTCCTAGAATACCTCGTGATAGTAGGTCTTCCAATTCTGAGTAAGTTATTTGTCACCCAGCCTTTATGGTGAGCGTAGTCTAGAAATCTAGAGGGTGCTGAACAACCTGGTCCATGGACGCCGATACCTATCTAATAGACAGAAATGAGACGAAACCTCTCATCATTCAATGTATTCATATGCGTGTGTCGGGTCCATCGTTGTAGAGAGGAGCTTCAACAGTGACTGGAACTTGTGACCCAGGTGTAGGATTAATGGACCCCTATCTAACGTATATAACTTTCGTAAATATATAACTATCTATATTGAAAATCTTTCAAATAATTTTGATTGATTGAAGCAATCTTAATATAGCCATTGATTTCTTGATGTTTATCTATTTTGCAAGAATGTTATTTCTAAAAAGACATTGAAAAGGCCATGTTCAATTCTTAATCTTTTTCGTAATTTTTTTGTCATTGCTATACAGAATTTAACAAAAATTTTGGCTAAATGATCTCGTGGTATGATAAGATTGTTGAAGTAAATGTCACAAACCAAACTCCACTTATTTTTCTGTCGTAAGAGCAACATCACTCCATTTCTCCAAATACACTTCTTGCCAGTCCTTGCCTTAGCGCAAATTGTGTCCGTTGGCCAAATTTTTTTCACATCCAGCTATAAAGTGAATAATAATATTTTAAAAAATAAGGAATAGTATTAAAAAACTTAATATACGATTGATTATGTACTTAGAATTTAGAATAATATAGCATAATAATGATGATTTTGAATTTTCTTTAAAACAAAAGAACATTAGACATGAAATAAAAACATTAATTAGGGATTTTCAACATTTATTTTTAACATATGTCAAATTGATTTTATATAAAAAAAACGTTGATAGAAGTATAAATGCATACCTAAACGATTATTATAGATTATTTTTGTTAGCAGTTGGTTAAACATACAAATTAAATGTAATATTTTTTACCTCTGCCTTCCTATAGTAATCTTTACACTGGTCCAAATTGACGTAAATCATTTCATATATTCTAATCTTTGAATTCTTGCAGTCTGCGAGTAAAATATTAATATAAAATATTAATAAAATGAAAATCTTTGTATAATAATGTAGAAATTGAGTTAAAATATACGTATACTATATGTATATTTTTACAATTTATCTATGTTAAGGAACACGAATTGTTTTCTATATATCTATATAAAATATATATACAGTTGTAAATTACCATCGGATAAAACAAGCGCATAAAAACGCGGTTTTTCCAAGTGTTTTGGCGGTGCGCAAACAGGTTGTAAATCTGCAATTAATACCCAATAATGTATTGTACTATAAATACATTTGTATTCGGACGTTTGCATTAATTACTGGGTATATTTGTATGTTGATACAGTATGTAATATTTATGTACAGTAAATATTTGCTTTTCATAAAAGATAATAAATAAATGCTATTGGGAATGAATCTTTGTAAACAAGTTGTATTTTAAAATTCTCTGTAGGAAGTTGAACGTGTGGCGATTCATTATTGACACACACACACACATATATATATATATATATAAAATTCTCGTGTCGCAGTGTTAGACAGAGAACTCCTCCGCAATGGTTGGAACCATTTTGATGAAATTTTGTGAGCATATTGAGAAGGTTTGAGAATCAGCCAACATCTATTTTTCATACGCCTAAGTCATAAGGGTTGTTCACCCTTAATTTTTTATTTCTATTTTTGTTTTTATTTATTTATAATGTAGCACTAAAAATACATACAAGTAAAAAAAATGTTTACTTTTTTATCACCAACCCCTATTTTTTTGTATGTCAAAACAACGTTTGCGGGGCAGCTAGTATATATACAATTTACACTCATTACAAAAAAACAATGTAATCGTTTTCAGTACAGAAGAAGTCAAGTTATATATATGAAACTTTTGATTAAGAAAACAATTACCATTTGATCTAAAATTTGTTTCTAACTGTATAATAGCTAAAGAGCTGTACGAAGCTTTGTTGAAGTGCGGATGGTAGCTGTAATCCCTTATTTTTATACCAGGCCTGGTACAATTATGCCCTAATACTACTCTCGTACGAGATCTGAAATCATAAAAAATAATATTAAAATATTACATCATTATGTCCTACGAGTATATGCAAAATATGGAAAATGTTGATATTTGAGCTCACTATAAAATTTCGTATTAAGAGTTTTATGAAGTTCTACGAAGTGAATTCAATTGTGGAAAGTCAGTACTATGGCATTGATAGCATTTACTTTTGTCCACTTTAAAATGGACTATCCATTTCAAGAGGTAATTTTTGAATTGTTGAATAAATATGGACGGTTTATTATAGTGTTATGTTTTCCCAAAAAAGGTCAAATGCTTCCCAACAAGAAAAAACGATCATCGTATAATAAAAACACAATAACAAGAGAATATAAGTACTTATGTATAAATGAAACTAATATTTTCTGGATTAACGCGTATTTTATTATTTTTAAAAATATGTATGAATACAGGCATTCACATTTCGTTCCGTTATCACGGTTGCTGAAAAGTAACCGAAATTTCGGGAGTGTGTAGTTATTAAAAATAATACGCGTAGTAATCCGAGAATATTCTTTTAAATGAATACTCGCGAAAGTTTTGAATCTCATTAGTGTTTTTGTATTTAATTATAGATATAAACTAAAAGGAAATAAAGCGATTTGATATAATAATAATCATTTATACGATGCCAGTCACATCATACTTAACAAGTCAAACATGAAAATAACTTTTCAAGTTTGTTTCACGTAAATATTAAATTTCAATTAGAGGTTTGGTAACTTTGAAGTGCTCGCGGCCTTTCTTTGAAGTCACGCCACATACAAGTTGCTGTACTCACACATTCAAGATAATGAAATAATAGTTATCGCTTATTTTGAGTAAAATTGGTTTGATTTGTTAAATTCGAGATACGTAAGAGTGTAAGAACATTATTTTGATGGTAGAGAAATCATTAAATATTTTAAGTTATAATAGGTTTGTGGTGTACGTGAAAAATGTCAATGAACGACCAGTTTTGAAGTTGAAGGAAATGATTTTTCAATTTTTCGGATTTTTTTTTAGCTTTTCAGAGTCCACTACTGAGCAAAGGCCTCTTTCTTTCATGGAGAAGGTTTGAGTATTAATCACCACGCTTGCTCAAGACGGGTTGGTGATTTCAAACTTATAATTGTGAAATCATAAGTCCAGGTTTCCTTACGATGTTTTCCTTCACCGTCTGTATTTTTCGGGTCTAACAATATACAATTAATGAATAGGACAATAATATATACAAATTAAATACCATGTTTAATGGTACTGATAAGTAAATATTTGTCTTCTTTTCATGGACTATTACTGTTTTGTTAGACTGTGTAAGTCGGGGGGTGGAATATTCCTTACCTGAAATCATTTTTCGGTAATCTATCAATGTCCATGGCTGATCCGATGACAATTTGTTGTGCGACCAGAATCACAGATGTTGAATATTTTCTATCTCCTAGACAAGCATTTAGACATAAGTCAGTTATTATTATGTTTTTAGTGGTAATAATAAATTATAATAAAAAAAAATAAAATTAAGATATAACTAAATAAAATAAGCTAAATAATTTTATGATCAAGTCGAGAAAAAAATATTTATGGCTGTTAAGGAAAAATAATAGAGTGTTTTGTTTTTTCTTATTTACAGCTGCTAGTTTTTCATTATTTTATGCCACCCTGTTTTAAGATGACTGATTTCTTTCATATAAAACGTTCTATATGTATTTTCTCTTTCTACTTCTTCTACCTGGCAATTTCCCAGCTATAGCCAGGGTTTGCCTTACATGCTGTGAATAGTTTTGGCTATTTGTTTTTACGACCGGCCGCCTGCCTGACATTAACCCTCTTTGGAAATCAGCAATAATCAGTGATGTCTAAATACTCTTAGAAAGTACATATGACTCGGAAAAATCACATCGGTACTACCCCAGGCCAGGATCGAACCCGCGCCCTCATGCATGAGAGGTGGGCCTTTTAACCACTAGGCCATCACTGACTTACTGACTTCTATACCTATTTTGTTACCTGCTAACCAAAAAATATTATATAATTAATTTTATCATCAAGAGTCACTTACTGGTTGCATAGAATAGTGTTCCCAACCATGGGTAAGTTTCTATTTTCGCTTCCCCCTCATAAACAACTTTAATCGGTGATTTATCTAAACCACACTTATTGACTGGTGCATTCCTAGGAATTGTTGAATTTGGTACATGTGCTGAAAGAATGAAAAAATCTTATAGTTATCCAAAGACTTTGTCGCAAATAAAATTAATTTGGTATCAGTTTCATATAAATGTTAAAAGTAATTTATTCTGTTTATTATTAAAAGATAAAAATATATTAAAGTATATTTGATGGTTTACAATATCGTATTGTTTTTGAGGATAACATTGATGACTAGTGTACTTAATCTTTGTTACTATTGTCACTCTACATACAGAGAGGTGATAGTTTTTCATTCATAGATCAAAGCACGTTAACTATAACGTTAAAATAATTAACGTGAATCATTGAAAGAGAAAAGGGAAAAACCTTATATATAGTGCGTATAAGTTAGGCCAACATGCCCTTATAACTTCATAGAGTTAGCCTAGCCTAGGATGGGGATGAGAATCGTTAAAACCCTTTTATAATTCATCAATCTCAATCAGAAAGTAGGTATAATTTAAACCTCTTTAACCTCTAGGCCTTCACAAACCAGGATTACATCAGTATAATAAGACATTTTTGTAAAGAACGGAAAAAGAAAGTCAACTTCGACATTTCAGTAACAATTTAGTCTTTATATTTTAAGCAAGAGTGTTAGAATAACCATTATCTTTCCGTCAAAGTATAAATGAACCTTAGTGATGTCTTAGGTTCTGAGATACATTAATTTGTGGCAGTGAGAGGCCAAAATAGACCTTGATTTCAATCGCCGTTTGGCGGGATTTTATTTAAGTACAGATAGCAAGAAACATGCTTTTTACATTAGAAATTGGACACTGTTGCACTTTTGTTGGCCCTACAATCAGTACAGAAAAAAATGAAAATGGCAATATCCAGTAGATACACGAATATAATGTAAGAAAGATCTTCAATTAAATTCTTTTGAAGAAGCTACAGATACAATTTTTTCTGTAACAAGTTAGTACTAGTCTGTCAGAGCTCTTATTGAGCTGGTTTTAAGTCAACCATCTTAAAGATAGACACTTAATACAAAAATAATATCATACCTTCATAGCCCATCAGAACAGTCATAACAATGACGTATAGAATTTCCATTTCGATAACTCCCCTTTATTAATACGATTTAATTAATCAAACATTTGCTGGATGCACTCAACTATGGATGATTTATTATTTTTCGTCATATATTTCGATATTGTGAGTTATGTTTGCCGGTTTACAGTTTACAAACAATGATTTATTATACGCAAAAACATCCTTACGAATTGATGTTCATTTGTTCTTTCTTGATATTAATGTATTAAAACGTGAAAACACAAATAATTTAAACATATGTACATATATATCGGCGCTGCCAGCTTTAATAACGGATGCGACATGAAAATAATTTGAGGCTGTCAACAATTATTATTAAAACTCAATAGTATTCATGATTATTGTTTAAAGTAAAACGAAATCAAAGATTGTTTAAAAGGAGAATAGAACTATGTTTGAATCTTGGTATAAATATGACGTCTGGACGCACGACGGCAGAGTTGAGTTAGTGAGGACCATTGAAGATTGTGATTATGAAGAATTTTCGAGAAATACAAGGAAATTTAGAACAATTGAAGATTCATTTTATAATATCATGGAACGTTCTAGAAGAAGTGACATTTAGTGACGTCAGTGAGGCTGGCGTCTCTCTTTAAAAACAACGAATTTTTAATAAATCCGATATACCTATATTATTTATAAAATATTATTATTTTGCGTATTCATCCATTAACTTGTTTAACATAATATAACTGTAATATCAAAAACCATATTAGACAATGTTATATTAACTTTACATATAGATATAAATGTAGATATATTGTCCGTATAATAAAGATAAGGCTTTATAATATAATATGCTTTGAGTATTATCTCTAAAGAAGCTTTGTGATCATCTCCTTAGTTTGGTGGTTGTTATCTGATGCTGTGTCGGTCTCCGGTCACGTTCCCAGACAGATTGAGATGTCTCAAGCATGTGTGATTACTGACTTGATTTATTTACTTCTCTGTAAACAAAATAATGTATTTGTTTTGAAGAAATACTGATTTCATTGATCATATAACATTTTAATCAAAATAAGGTTTGAAGGGTTAAAATTTTCGTAGTTTATTTTTAGTCTGAAGTCTTATGACTTTTCAGTAATCAAGATTACGATTATAATTTAGTCATCATCATCAGCCTATCAGAGCCCACTGCTGAGCATAGCCTCTTCTCACATGGAGAAGGTTTGAGCATTAATCACTACGCTTGCTCAAGACGGGTTTGTGATTTTGAACTTACATTTGGAAATTATAAGTTCAGGTTTCCTCACGATGTATTCTTCACCGTCTGTCAGTGGTGTCTAAAAAATCTTAGAAAGTACATATGACTAAGAAAAATCACATTGATACTTGCCGGGTTTCGAACCCGCGCCTTCAAGCTTGAGAGGCGAGCCTTTAACCACTAGGCCACCACGACTTTTATAATTAAGTGATATATGTATTTTTTTCTGATTCACAACTAGATACTCTAAAGCCAGTTTAACGTCACTCAGCCAATCACGAATAAGATTGCCAAAATGTGCTTTAATAAAACAATATATTCTCTTTAACGATGATTGAACACAACTTGAATATTCTAAACAATGAAATTTTGAACAAAATTATTTTAGTTACCAGTTTTCGATCGAATTTTCGAATCATTTATGGTTATTGCAAATTAGTTTTTATTACGTTGTATTAAGGTGCACACGGATACTCATGTCAGAGTTTTATAACAAGGCGGTTAGGGCAACCATCTGAGTGTTTTCCAAACTGTCGCTGCGTAAACTAAGCTAACTGGAAACGGGGCTGTAACAAGACGTAGTTATGAAATTCAAAATAAATCGTTTAAATAATAATTCATATTTAATATCACTATTCTATTAAAACTATAGATATTTCAATTAAACTAATATTATTCGAATTATTATACGTATTTTATAATTATAAAACTTTCATTTCTCGTTTGTAATTGATCATTCTTGTTGAAAAGAATCGAAAATTCGGGAGTATGCAGTTTATACTCATCTCATTATAAAGATTTTAAGTATAACTACAGTTTGTATAGACATTTTGTTTTAATGCTCTCTGTAACTCAAGAACTAAACAAAAATTGCTTTGTTAATATACTTTTTAAAGCAATAAATGAATCTACCAAATTTATCATACATTTTATATCTGACTGGATAATATATTAACAAGTACTAGCCAGTATTAATTGATACCTATCTATCTTAATGGAAAGGTGAATTAAGAATTCTTTTTTCTCCATGCAATCATTAATTTCAATGGTATTTTATTTCGCCGCCAATAAATCAGTGACAGCCCTAGGTCGTCATTAGCGTGCTAAAAGCTTTCGATAGTTCACCTAACAACGTTTTCCTAACAACAAGCTATTACTTAATAGATTCTACTATCGTTATATGCTATATATATAAATATATATATCTTCTATTCTACCTGGCAGTTTCCCGGCTATAGCCAGGGTCTGCCTTACTTGTTGTGAATAGTTTTGGCTAATTGTTTTTTACGACCTGCTTGATATCAACCCTCTTTTGGGAATCAGCATTAATCAGTGATGTCTAAATATTCTAAGAAAGTACATATGACTCGGACAAATCACATTGGTACTTGCCCGGGCCAGGATCGAACCCGCACTCTCGGCAACGAGAGGCGGACCTTCTAACCATTGGGCCACCACTGACTTTTAAATATATATATATATATATATATATATATATATATATATATATATATATATATATATATATATATATATATGTATAATATGTGAAAATAAAACCTCCTTTCTTTCTTCTAGGTATACTCAAATGTATTTATAGTCATTTTTAATCAAGTCTAATTTCTTTCTCTTATCCAATAATGTACAGCGACTTTTCTTTTGTGTCAACAGAAAGTCACCTGGGCATAAGAATAATTCTTTTAATACAATATGTAAAATTGATAACAAAAACAAAGTTTTTATTGATTTATTTTATTTCAATAAAATAAACTGAAATCATTATTTTAAATATAACTTTTTGATCTTATTCTCAAATTGCATAAATAAAAATTCACACTGTCCCATTTTATTTTGAAGAATTTTCTTTACAAATTCGATGTAAGATTCGATGCTTTCTTACGATATGTACACACGACAGCTGTCTTTCAAATGGTCTGATAATTTTAAAATTTATTTATTTATTCAATGTAATGTAATTTTACATTCACTTAATTCATTCATTCATTTTAAATTCATTTAAAAATATGACTCTTTTTGGAAATTACTTACATGGAATATTGAAATACAATTTTTATACTCGTACCTCATTTTCACTTATATATTTGACTAAGAAATACTAAGATTATTTATTATTAAATTATCTATAGTTATAAATAAATTGTGTAAATTATATTCTTTCCAAAGTGTGAACTATTCCTTAAACTTAACTTAGTGTGTAGAGAGCCTTGTAGAGAATTGAAAACATAACGTACGTGCCTTCGGGAAAAGTAGATTCCTATTGCAACGGAAAACAACTTTACTTTGAATCTTGTCTTAAAATGAACCTTAAAATACAATCGCTATGTAACATTCATAGGGATGTTCTATTCTTATTCTATTGATTTATTTTTTATAAAACCGGCGAAGTTCCAAAAACCGATACAAACCGGTATATTTTATAAGTAAGGCAAGCACTAAAAATAAAATATGTATTCTTAAAATGTTTACGAAAAAATGCATTGTCAATCCGAAATAAATAGTTTAAAATCTCCATAGTTATATCAAATAATATATATATAAATTTTATAGCATTAACTTGATTATAATGCTAAGTTATTGTTGGAAACTAAGTTAACATTTTGTGAATAATTTCAACGTATAAGAAATACACAACTTGACTGAAGGCTTAACTATTCAATCCGAAATTTGTATGTGCAAGTAAAGTCTCAACTGGCAAGACGTAGACTCACAACTTTGGTTTAAAACAACTTCGTATCTTTGTTTCCTTGAATAATGCGGTGCGGTTTTTGTTACAACTCATTGTTTTGATATAAAATAATACTCAGGAATGATATATTGTCAACATTCATTTAAATTTTTCATTTAAATGAAACGAATGTATTACGAATTACGTTCATTGAAATAGATTTGATAGTGATGACATCTAAGATCTAAGTCTGTGGTGGCCAAGTTTTTTAAAGGCCCGCGTCTCATGCTCGAGGGCGCGGGTTCGATCCTGGCAAGTACCAATGTGATATTTACAAATCATATGTACTTTGTATTTAGACATCACGGATTAATACATTCTCAAGGAGGGTTGATGTCAGGCAGGCGGCCGTTTGTAAAAACAATTAGCCAAAACTATTCACAATATGTAAGGCAGACCCTGGCTAAAGCTGGGAAATTGCCAGGTAGAAGAAGAAGTGATGAGATCTAAGAGTTTTTCGAGTTTTATTCTTTAAATGAAACTAATATTTTTCGAATATACTAAGCGGATTATTTTTGTAGACATCACGTCTTTCCTGATTCCGTGATCACGGTTGCTGAAAAGTCACCGAAACGTTGGAAGTATGTAGTTTTTTACAAAAATAAAGTCCCAGTAAACATTTATGAGATATAAATTGACTAATTGCAGTTTTTCTTGAAGTTTAATGAATAATATCTAGAGTTACGTCATAAATTGTTTACCCAATCCGTTATATCGATGTAATTAAAGATGAAATTATTAAAAACCTCCCCATCCGTCTTGTACATTCAAGTTATGTTTGTGTTTCCAGCTAGTGAAGTGAATCAAATATATCGATAATTTAACGTTTTTTGTTTTACTTATTTAATCTAATAGCTATATTATAAGCGAAAATTTAAACGTAAAATGTATCTAAAAAGTTTCTGTAGTCATTAATCATACACGATATTAGCAAAATGAAATATGTTTAATTTAATATTTAATAATTATTTTACATATACAATATAAAACATGTACATATTGTCTTTATAGCAATTAAAAGATATCGAAAAATTTATAGGAGATTATTTG